TCCCCCTTCTGCTTTCCGCTTTTGAGTCGACTCAAAAGTCACCTCGTTACCTGGTAAACCTCTCTTTCTCTCCCCCTTCTGCTTTCCGCTTTTGAGTCGACTCAAAAGTCACCTCGTTACCTGGTAAACCTCTCTTTCTCTCCCCCTTCTGCTTTCCGCTTTTGAGTCGACTCAAAAGTCACCTCGTTACCTGGTAAACCTCTCTTTCTCTCCCCCTTCTGCTTTCCGCTTTTGAGTCGACTCCAAAGTCACCTCGTTACCTGGTAAACCTCTCTTTCTCTCCCCCTTCTGCTTTCCGCTTTTGAGTCGACTCAAAAGTCACCTCGTTACCTGGTAAACCTCTCTTTCTCTCCCCCTTCTGCTTTCCGCTTTTGAGTCGACTCAAAAGTCACCTCGTTACCTGGTAAACCTCTCTTTCTCTCCCCCTTCTGCTTTCCGCTTTTGAGTCGACTCAAAAGTCACCTCGTTACCTGGTAAACCTCTCTTTCTCTCCCCCTTCTGCTTTCCGCTTTTGAGTCGACTCAAAAGTCACCTCGTTACCTGGTAAACCTCTCTTTCTCTCCCCCTTCTGCTTTCCGCTTTTGAGTCGACTCAAAAGTCACCTCGTTACCTGGTAAACCTCTCTTTCTCTCCCCCTTCTGCTTTCCGCTTTTGAGTCGACTCAAAAGTCACCTCGTTACCTGGTAAACCTCTCTTTCTCTCCCCCTTCTGCTTTCCGCTTTTGAGTCGACTCAAAAGTCACCTCGTTACCTGGTAAACCTCTCTTTCTCTCCCCCTTCTGCTTTCCGCTTTTGAGTCGACTCAAAAGTCACCTCGTTACCTGGTAAACCTCTCTTTCTCTCCCCCTTCTGCTTTCCGCTTTTGAGTCGACTCAAAAGTCACCTCGTTACCTGGTAAACCTCTCTTTCTCTCCCCCTTCTGCTTTCCGCTTTTGAGTCGACTCAAAAGTCACCTCGTTACCTGGTAAACCTCTCTTTCTCTCCCCCTTCTGCTTTCCGCTTTTGAGTCGACTCAAAAGTCACCTCGTTACCTGGTAAACCTCTCTTTCTCTCCCCCTTCTGCTTTCCGCTTTTGAGTCGACTCAAAAGTCACCTCGTTACCTGGTAAACCTCTCTTTCTCTCCCCCTTCTGCTTTCCGCTTTTGAGTCGACTCAAAAGTCACCTCGTTACCTGGTAAACCTCTCTTTCTCTCCCCCTTCTGCTTTCCGCTTTTGAGTCGACTCAAAAGTCACCTCGTTACCTGGTAAACCTCTCTTTCTCTCCCCCTTCTGCTTTCCGCTTTTGAGTCGACTCAAAAGTCACCTCGTTACCTGGTAAACCTCTCTTTCTCTCCCCCTTCTGCTTTCCGCTTTTGAGTCGACTCAAAAGTCACCTCGTTACCTGGTAAACCTCTCTTTCTCTCCCCCTTCTGCTTTCCGCTTTTGAGTCGACTCAAAAGTCACCTCGTTACCTGGTAAACCTCTCTTTCTCTCCCCCTTCTGCTTTCCGCTTTTGAGTCGACTCAAAAGTCACCTCGTTACCTGGTAAACCTCTCTTTCTCTCCCCCTTCTGCTTTCCGCTTTTGAGTCGACTCAAAAGTCACCTCGTTACCTGGTAAACCTCTCTTTCTCTCCCCCTTCTGCTTTCCGCTTTTGAGTCGACTCAAAAGTCACCTCGTTACCTGGTAAACCTCTCTTTCTCTCCCCCTTCTGCTTTCCGCTTTTGAGTCGACTCAAAAGTCACCTCGTTACCTGGTAAACCTCTCTTTCTCTCCCCCTTCTGCTTTCCGCTTTTGAGTCGACTCAAAAGTCACCTCGTTACCTGGTAAACCTCTCTTTCTCTCCCCCTTCTGCTTTCCGCTTTTGAGTCGACTCAAAAGTCACCTCGTTACCTGGTAAACCTCTCTTTCTCTCCCCCTTCTGCTTTCCGCTTTTGAGTCGACTCAAAAGTCACCTCGTTACCTGGTAAACCTCTCTTTCTCTCCCCCTTCTGCTTTCCGCTTTTGAGTCGACTCAAAAGTCACCTCGTTACCTGGTAAACCTCTCTTTCTCTCCCCCTTCTGCTTTCCGCTTTTGAGTCGACTCAAAAGTCACCTCGTTACCTGGTAAACCTCTCTTTCTCTCCCCCTTCTGCTTTCCGCTTTTGAGTCGACTCAAAAGTCACCTCGTTACCTGGTAAACCTCTCTTTCTCTCCCCCTTCTGCTTTCCGCTTTTGAGTCGACTCAAAAGTCACCTCGTTACCTGGTAAACCTCTCTTTCTCTCCCCCTTCTGCTTTCCGCTTTTGAGTCGACTCAAAAGTCACCTCGTTACCTGGTAAACCTCTCTTTCTCTCCCCCTTCTGCTTTCCGCTTTTGAGTCGACTCAAAAGTCACCTCGTTACCTGGTAAACCTCTCTTTCTCTCCCCCTTCTGCTTTCCGCTTTTGAGTCGACTCAAAAGTCACCTCGTTACCTGGTAAACCTCTCTTTCTCTCCCCCTTCTGCTTTCCGCTTTTGAGTCGACTCAAAAGTCACCTCGTTACCTGGTAAACCTCTCTTTCTCTCCCCCTTCTGCTTTCCGCTTTTGAGTCGACTCCAAAGTCACCTCGTTACCTGGTAAACCTCTCTTTCTCTCCCCCTTCTGCTTTCCGCTTTTGAGTCGACTCAAAAGTCACCTCGTTACCTGGTAAACCTCTCTTTCTCTCCCCCTTCTGCTTTCCGCTTTTGAGTCGACTCAAAAGTCACCTCGTTACCTGGTAAACCTCTCTTTCTCTCCCCCTTCTGCTTTCCGCTTTTGAGTCGACTCAAAAGTCACCTCGTTACCTGGTAAACCTCTCTTTCTCTCCCCCTTCTGCTTTCCGCTTTTGAGTCGACTCAAAAGTCACCTCGTTACCTGGTAAACCTCTCTTTCTCTCCCCCTTCTGCTTTCCGCTTTTGAGTCGACTCAAAAGTCACCTCGTTACCTGGTAAACCTCTCTTTCTCTCCCCCTTCTGCTTTCCGCTTTTGAGTCGACTCAAAAGTCACCTCGTTACCTGGTAAACCTCTCTTTCTCTCCCCCTTCTGCTTTCCGCTTTTGAGTCGACTCAAAAGTCACCTCGTTACCTGGTAAACCTCTCTTTCTCTCCCCCTTCTGCTTTCCGCTTTTGAGTCGACTCAAAAGTCACCTCGTTACCTGGTAAACCTCTCTTTCTCTCCCCCTTCTGCTTTCCGCTTTTGAGTCGACTCAAAAGTCACCTCGTTACCTGGTAAACCTCTCTTTCTCTCCCCCTTCTGCTTTCCGCTTTTGAGTCGACTCAAAAGTCACCTCGTTACCTGGTAAACCTCTCTTTCTCTCCCCCTTCTGCTTTCCGCTTTTGAGTCGACTCAAAAGTCACCTCGTTACCTGGTAAACCTCTCTTTCTCTCCCCCTTCTGCTTTCCGCTTTTGAGTCGACTCAAAAGTCACCTCGTTACCTGGTAAACCTCTCTTTCTCTCCCCCTTCTGCTTTCCGCTTTTGAGTCGACTCAAAAGTCACCTCGTTACCTGGTAAACCTCTCTTTCTCTCCCCCTTCTGCTTTCCGCTTTTGAGTCGACTCAAAAGTCACCTCGTTACCTGGTAAACCTCTCTTTCTCTCCCCCTTCTGCTTTCCGCTTTTGAGTCGACTCAAAAGTCACCTCGTTACCTGGTAAACCTCTCTTTCTCTCCCCCTTCTGCTTTCCGCTTTTGAGTCGACTCAAAAGTCACCTCGTTACCTGGTAAACCTCTCTTTCTCTCCCCCTTCTGCTTTCCGCTTTTGAGTCGACTCAAAAGTCACCTCGTTACCTGGTAAACCTCTCTTTCTCTCCCCCTTCTGCTTTCCGCTTTTGAGTCGACTCAAAAGTCACCTCGTTACCTGGTAAACCTCTCTTTCTCTCCCCCTTCTGCTTTCCGCTTTTGAGTCGACTCAAAAGTCACCTCGTTACCTGGTAAACCTCTCTTTCTCTCCCCCTTCTGCTTTCCGCTTTTGAGTCGACTCAAAAGTCACCTCGTTACCTGGTAAACCTCTCTTTCTCTCCCCCTTCTGCTTTCCGCTTTTGAGTCGACTCAAAAGTCACCTCGTTACCTGGTAAACCTCTCTTTCTCTCCCCCTTCTGCTTTCCGCTTTTGAGTCGACTCAAAGGTCACCTCGTTACCTGGTAAACCTCTCTTTCTCTCCCCCTTCTGCTTTCCGCTTTTGAGTCGACTCAAAAGTCACCTCGTTACCTGGTAAACCTCTCTTTCTCTCCCCCTTCTGCTTTCCGCTTTTGAGTCGACTCAAAAGTCACCTCGTTACCTGGTAAACCTCTCTTTCTCTCCCCCTTCTGCTTTCCGCTTTTGAGTCGACTCAAAAGTCACCTCGTTACCTGGTAAACCTCTCTTTCTCTCCCCCTTCTGCTTTCCGCTTTTGAGTCGACTCAAAAGTCACCTCGTTACCTGGTAAACCTCTCTTTCTCTCCCCCTTCTGCTTTCCGCTTTTGAGTCGACTCCAAAGTCACCTCGTTACCTGGTAAACCTCTCTTTCTCTCCCCCTTCTGCTTTCCGCTTTTGAGTCGACTCAAAAGTCACCTCGTTACCTGGTAAACCTCTCTTTCTCTCCCCCTTCTGCTTTCCGCTTTTGAGTCGACTCAAAAGTCACCTCGTTACCTGGTAAACCTCTCTTTCTCTCCCCCTTCTGCTTTCCGCTTTTGAGTCGACTCAAAAGTCACCTCGTTACCTGGTAAACCTCTCTTTCTCTCCCCCTTCTGCTTTCCGCTTTTGAGTCGACTCAAAAGTCACCTCGTTACCTGGTAAACCTCTCTTTCTCTCCCCCTTCTGCTTTCCGCTTTTGAGTCGACTCAAAAGTCACCTCGTTACCTGGTAAACCTCTCTTTCTCTCCCCCTTCTGCTTTCCGCTTTCTTCTTTCTCTGTTTACCCGTCCTCTCCTCCCTCATCCATCTATTGAAGAAGTATGTTCCATCTTTTTACCCATCCTCGCTTCCTTCGTCCCTTTTTCAGTCAACCATGAAAGGGAGGGACTAAAGAAGGGACACGAGAGACGGATTTATGTGTGTGTGAACCTTGAATTGCCTCCCTCTCTCTATCCGTCCTCCCTCCCTCTAATCGTCTTTTCTTCCCTAGCACTTTTTAGTTGACTCAAAATTCGCCTAGCCCTTTTCTGCTTTACTCACACTTACAGCATTCTCAAAACTTTCTCTTTGTTTGCTGCTGCTCTCTCCCCTCACTCTCTCCCCCCACTCTCTCCTTTGCCCTCTCCACTAAATTGTGAAAAGTGTGTTTGCCGTGTGTGCTGGACGTAACACAAGCATTTAGGCCTCAAAAAGCAGCTCAACAAACGCGCTCTCCCTCTCCCTTCCCGATCTCCCTTGACAGTACGAGGCAGTGGTGCTGCTGTGTGTGCTGCATGCAAATACCTATTCACACACCTCAACCGCCACTCAACCTGACCTCTCTCCCTCCCCGTTCTCCCCCGGCAGTACGAGGCAGTGGTGCTGCTGTGTGTGCTGGACGCGCCTTCCCAAGCGTCAGGGGGCGTGTTGGAGGCGGAGGTCGATGGGGAGGTGCTCTTCCCCTTCGTGGAGCCACCAGGACAGGTGCGGTGGGCAGGTGTGGGCAGGTGGGATGCGAGCAGATGCCTCTTCACCAGCGTCAGGGGGCGTGTTGGAGGTGGAGGTCGATGGGGAGGTGCTCTTCCCCTTCGTGGAGCAGCCGGGGCAGGTGAGGATAGGTGATGATAGGTTGGGTTAGGTTGGGGTAGGTGCTGTTAGGTGCGCCCTTGCTTGGGTTGAGAGCAGACATGCTCTCTCAAGCGTCAGGGGGCGTGGCGGAGGCGGAAATTGATGGGGAGGTGCTCTTCCCCTTCGTGGAACCCGCAGGGCAGGTAAGGATAGGTTGGGGTAGGTGCTGGCAGGTGCATGCTTGCTTGGGCTGAGAGCAGATGCCCCTTCACCAGCGTCAGGGGGCGTGGTGGAGGCGGAAATTGATGGGGAGGTGCTCTTCCCCTTCGTGGAGCCACCAGGACAGGTGAGGATAGGTGAAGGTGAGAGCACGTGAGAGGACGTGAGAGAGCAGGAGGAGCGCCCTTACTCTTCCCCTTCACTTTGCCCCGCTTTCAACCACCCCCTTCCTATGTCCCCGCACCCGCCCTCTCTTCCCCTCCCCTGCCCGCGGACCACCCTTCCACCTTCCCCTCCCCGCCAGCATCATCCTGTGTGGGCCCAGGTCCGCCCATGCTCGGCGCTACGTGTGTAAAGGGTATGTTTGAGACGTCTCAAAAATACCCTTTATACACCCAGCATCATCCTGTGTGGGCCCGGGTCCGCCCATGTTCGGCGCTACCAGCCCAGCCCCAGAGCGCTCGGCCACTCCTGCGAATGATTCCCCATGTCCACCCATTTCTCTCTCTCCCTTACCCAAAACAGCCCATGGAAGTCCCCTCCACCTTCCCCGACAATATCGTTCTCTGCGGCCTGCCCATGTTCGGAGCCATCAGCCCCAGGGCGCTCACTGAGTGGCTGCACTTCCACTCACCGTCGCACTCCCCCACGTTCCTTTTCCTCCGCCACAGCCCATGGAGGACCCATCAAACTTCCCCGCCAACATTGTTCTCTGCGGCCCGCCCATGTTCGGCGCCAGGGTTGAAGGTTTAGAGTGTCTGCACTTCTACCCACTCCCCTTTCACACTCCCTCATGCTCCCTCTCCCACCCGTCAGCCCATGGAAGACCCGTCGTCTTTTCCTTCTAACATTGTTCTCTGTGGGCCGCCCATGTTCGGCGCCATCAGCCCCCGGGCGCTCTCCGAGTGGCTGCACTTCCACCGCCTGCTGCTGCCGGTGGACCGTTTTGTCCTGTACGACGCGGGCGGCGTGGCCAACCACGCTGACGTCAGCAGCGCGGTGCAGCCGTGGGTGCGGGCCGGGGTGGTGGAGGTGGTAGGGTTCGAGGAGTCAACGCAGTACGACGTGTGGTCTTATGCCCAGGTATGCTGTTTGCTGCTTGCTGCTTGTTGCTTGTCGTTGCTGTTGCTATTGTTATTTCACTTGTTCTGGTTACCCTCACCGCCGCCCACTCCTCCCAGCCCATCGCCAGCACCACCCCACTGCCACTCACAATGAGCTGCTGTTGTTCTGCCAGGCCCTCTCAACGCACGACTGTCTGTACGGGAACTGCCACGAGGCCCAGTGGCTGCTCTTTGCCCTGTTGACTCACACCCTGCTCTACCCCTTTCTGTCCCCCACCCATCTCTCTGCCCACATTTCTCTCCTTAGGCCCTCTCAACCCACGACTGTCTGTACGGGAACCGCCACGAGGCGCGGTGGCTGCTCTTTGCCGACCTGGACGAGTTCGTCGAGGTGCTGCCGCCCGCCACGCTGCAGCAGCTGCTACAGGACAACGCCGGCCGCCCGTGGATCACGTTCGGATGCACGCTGTTCAACAGCTCGTTCTGCCGCCCGCAGGAACAGTGGAATGGCGGTACTACAAGGAGAAGGAGGAGGTTGCTACTAGGGGAGGGGCAACTGGGAGAGGCGGAACAGGGAGGGCTTTTGAGGCGCCTCAAAAGTCGCCCGGAGGAGCCGTGGAATGGCGGTACTACAAGGAGAAGGAGGTTGCTACAGGGAGAAGTAGAACTGGGAGGGGAAGGGGGGGGAGGAGGAGGAGTAGGAGGAGGAGGAGGAGGAGGAGGGGGGGATTGGGGATCTAGCGGCATGGTTTCATCACAGCCGTTCATAGTGGAGGGGGTGAGGTACCAGTGGCCGCACGCCTACTGCATGAACACATCGCTCTACCCGGACCATCTGTGTCTCGACCAGTTCGGCCACCGCAAATACATCCTCAACCCGCGCCGCGTCTCCCTCGCTCAAGTGAGTGCTTTCCCTGGCTCCCTCGCACAGGTGAGCGTTGCTCCAAGTGAATCTTGACTGAACCGACTTGAGAGTTACATCCCCAACCTACGCCGCGTCTCCCTCGCTCCCTACCCACCACCCCTCCCTCGCGCAGATCCACGTGATCCTCGGGGGCGATATGGACGGCCTGGATCTGCCGAACTGATGTCCCAGACTCCATGTGATCTGCTGATTGAAACGACTCCATGCCCATCCGCCACCACCTCCCCCGCACAGATCCACGTGATCATCGGGGGCGATATGGACGGCCTGGATCTGCCGACGGACGTGGCGAGATTCGCGCACTACAGGGGGCTCACAGCGAGGGGGTACCCCATGTGTGACCTGGGGGCACCGAGCCCCTGGTGGCGCTACCATGATGGCGTGGCCAGAATGGCCCAGGCTGCTCGCTCCTGCCCTGCTCTTGTCACACCCATTCCTGAGGTGAGGCGTGTTTGGCGTACACTTTCTACACGTGGGCGCCCAGCCCCTGGTGGCGCTACCATGACGGGATGGCCCGCATGGCCAGGCTGCCCGCTCCTGCCCTGCTCTTGTGGCCTGTCTCACGCACACACCCACACACATTCACACACTCACACACTTGCACACACACTCACACACACACACACACACTCACACACTCACACACATACACTCACATGCACACACACACACCCAGTCTCTCTCACGCACACACACACTCACACACTCGCACACACACACACACACACACTCACTCACACACACTCACACTCACATGCGCACACACACCCCCACTGTCTCTCACGCACACACACACACACACACACACACACACACACACACACACAAACACACACGCTGTTCCCCTCTTGCCGGCATGGGCCATGACGAAACCAACCTCCCCCACGCCTCCCTCCCTACCCCTTTGCCTCTTCACCCCCTCGCCTCCTCACCCCACCCCACCGCACATGCAGCGCTGCACAGCGCAGGCTCTTGCGAGCAGCATTGCATGATCATGACGTCATCGGCTGGCGCTCGTCAAGTGAGTTGACCTCCAGTGTGAGCCAGCCTTGCCTGGTCCGAAGCATTCCTGCAACCACGTATATGCAAACAGTTGCCTTGACTTGGTGATGTGTTTCTGAGGCGCCTCAAAAACAATAATTCCTGCAGCCTTGACCACATATCGAAATGGTTGCCCTGACGCGGTGGTCTGTTCTGTTGGGCATCAGCTGATGCTTGCTGTGCGAGCTGGCTTCCAGAATACCCTACACTAGTAGTATGGTACAACGAACAAGCCAAGTCTGTCTATTGATTTATTCTGCTGATAAATGCAATGTGTTCTTTAGGCAGGGTAGAACCGTTTCTGTGGAGCAAGAATGGACAGGGCAGCCATAGAGGAAGCGAACACCATCGTTGGCACTTCAAGGCATTGAATATGAACCAGGCAGGCAGACACCACACCACCCATTACGTCAAATAGGCTTTAATAGAGTTGGTGGTGACCATTGCGTAACAACGTTTATCAGCGGGTACACCAATACGTGAGCCAAGATTGCCTTTTGAGCAGCAGTTTCATCCCCATCGCTTGGTTAAATGCAAACAAAAATTGCCATCCATGCCACGGATTTCTAATCGAGTAGCACCTACCCCGATTGGCAGATTGTAAGGGCCACCCAAACCTGCTGCCATCCACGGTGTTTGCATGTGCCTGTGTGTGCAAGGTGGGGTGTGGATTTATGATTGGCGTAAGCTATTAGAAGTAGGCGTGACGTAACGCCATGACGCAGCAGACAGTGATACAGTCGAGTCGCCGTCCCAAATGCGTGGAGTGGAGGGAGGAGGAAGCGAGGAAGCGAGGAAGCGAGGAGCGAGGAAGCGAGGAAGCGAGGAAGCGAGGAAGCGAGGAAGCGAGGAAGCGAGGAAGCGAGGAAGCGAGGAAGCGAGGAGGTGTGGTTTTGTCATTGCAGCATGCCGTTAGAGAGCGGGGTGACGCCGTGTTGTAGCACCTCGTGCAGCGCTGCCACAGCCTCGTCTGTTGATCGCAACCTCCGATGATGCACTGAACGACAGCCGCTGCACGTTGCACTGGTGAGCGGGAGAGGGGTGGGGAAAGGGGGGAGGGGGGTGCGGTTGAGGAACAACAAGTGTTCTGAGGCACATTACAGCGCTGCAGCAGCCTCGTCTGTGCCCCGCACCGCACATCCCATGATGCACTGAAGGACAGGGGCTGCACGATGAATTGGCGAGGAAGTGGTGGAGGGGAGGGGGGTGGTAGGGAGGAGGCGAAAGGGTTTGCAGGGTTGGTGGGACAACAGGTCCTGTGCCATTCGTTGCTCTCACATCAAAGGGAGCACCAACAGCACCCACAGCACCCACAGCACCCACAGCACACAACACGCAACACGCATGATAGCAACAGCAGTCCCATAACTTGGTGCCATGCCACACCTTTGTCTCACAGTCACAGCCACATTACCTTGGCGCCATGTCGCACGCGGATGTCAACGCCCTTGCCATCAATGCTGATGAACAGTGCATCGTGCACCGGCTGCCATACCCTTAGCTCCATGCACTACCTTGGTCTCACAGCCCTGCATTACCTTAGCGCCGTGCCGGACCCGGATGTCAACGCCCTTGCCATCAATGCTGATGAACAGTGCATCGTGCACCGGCTGCCATACCCTTAGCTCCATGCACTACCTTGGTCTCACAGCCCTGCATTACCTTAGCGCCGTGCCGGACCCGGATGTCAACGCCCTTGCCATCAATGCTGATGAACAGTGCATCGTGCACCGGCTGCCATACCCTTAGCTCCATGCACTACCTTGGTCTCACAGCCCTGCATTACCTTAGCGCCGTGCCGGACCCGGATGTCAACCCCCTTGCCATCAATGCTGATGAACAGTGCATCGTCCACCGGCTGCCATATCCTTAGCTCCATGCACTACCTTGGTCTCACAGCCCTGCCTCACCTTAGCGCCGTGTCGCACGCGGATGTCAACCCCCTTGCCATCAATGCTGATGAACAGTGCATCGTCCACCGGCTCCGGCAGGATCGACGCCAGCTGGCGCTTCAGATCCGATCCCAGCCGCACGTTCAGCTCCTGCTCAAAGGGCGGCCGTACGTTGGGAAGGTGGGAATGGTTTTCACAGCATGTAGAGAATGGATCCAAGGCAGGCATACATGTTGCTCGTGTCGTGCCTCACTCACATGCTACAGCCCAGCCATCACTCTCCCACATGCAGCGCACAGGCAGTCCCTTGTGCCTTCCAACCCACCCCCCACTCACATGCAGTACCCTACAGTGTACAGCGTGCTTTCCACCCCCCATCCCCCACTCACATGCAGAATGGCCTCCGTGTCATGCAGCACGATGGCATCCAGTGTGGCGGCAAAGTGGTGTGTGATGCACCTACCCACCCACCCACCCTCACAACCAACCAACCATCCACGCCCCACCCATCCACTCACGTGCAGAATGGCCTCTGTGTCATGCAGCACGATGGCATCTGGTGTGGCAGACAGGTAGTCCTTCACATCGATCCACGCCACCGTGCCAAATCCGCCCACGAAATAGATGTCACTGGTAAGGGGGAATATGTAGGGGAGGGGGTGGTGAGAAGAGCGGGGGGGGGGGGGAGGGGAAGGAAGGAAAGCAGGCGATGCTGGTCGTAAAGAGGTAGCCACACAGCAAGCAAGCAAGATAGTCCTTCACGTCGATCCACGCCACCGTGCCAAACCCACCCACGAAAGAGATGTCACTGTGGAGGGGGAGAAGGGAGGGGGGTGGGGAGAGTGTGGAGGGGGGGGGTGGGGAGAGTGTGGAGGGGGGTGGGGAGAGTGTGGAGGGGGGTGGGGAGAGTGTGGAGGGGGGGGGTGGGGAGAGTGTGGAGGGGGGTGGGGAGAGTGTGGAGGGGGGTGGGGAGAGTGTGGAGGGGGGTGGGGAGAGTGTGGAGGGGGGGGTGGGGAGAGTGTAGAGGGGGGTGGGGAGAGTGTGGAGGGGGGGTGGGGAGAGTGTGGAGGGGGGTGGGGAGAGTGTGGAGGGGGGTGGGGAGAGTGTGGAGGGGGGTGGGGAGAGTGTGGAGGGGGGTGGGGAGAGTGTGGATGGGGGTGGGGAGAGTGTGGAGGGAGGGTGGGGAGAGTGTGGAGAGGGGGGGGTGGGGAGAGTGTGGAGGGGGGGGGGGTGGGGAGAGTGTGGAGGGGGGGTGGGGAGAGTGTGGAGGGGGGGTGGGGAGAGTGTGGAGGGGGGTGGGGAGAGTGTGGAGGGGGGTGGGGAGAGTGTGGAGGGGGGTGGGGAGAGTGTGGAGGGGGGTGGGGAGAGTGTGGAGGGGGGTGGGGAGAGTGTGGAGGGGGGGTGGGGAGAGTGTGGAGGGGGGTGGGGAGAGTGTGGAGGGGGGTGGGGAGAGGGTGGAGGGGGGGTGGGGAGAGGGTGGAGGGGGGTGGGGAGAGTGTGGAGGGGGGTGGGGAGAGTGTGGAGGGGGGTGGGGAGAGTGTGGAGGGGGGTGGGGAGACGGGGAAGAGGAAGGGGGCGGGGCGGGTAAATAGCTGAAGCTGCCACACAGCCAGGTACTCCTTCCTTCACGTCCATCCACACCACCGTGCCAAATCCCCCCACGAAATAGATGTCAAGTCACTAGTTGTTGGGTTATGGGTGAGGCGGCGGGGGGAGAGGCGGAGAGGAGGGGGCAATAAAGCTGAAGTTGCCACAGAGGTGAGTGATCACCATACCGGAGCTTCGGGGTTGGTAACCCCAGGAAGTACGTAACATGGGCGGTGCGGTCTGAACTACCTGCTGCATGCAGCGGTAACTGCACTTTCCCCACTTCTGTGTGGGTGGCTGGCGATTATACACTGGGAAATAAATATAAATGTTTACCCACGAGCGGCTAGTAACCCTACCAGATCTGCTGCATGCGGTAGTAGCTGAAGTTGCCCCACATCTGCATGGCTAAAACCATATCTTACCCAAGAGGGGCTAGTAACCCTACCAGATCTGCTGCATGCGGTAGTAGCTGAAGTTGCCCCACATCTGCATGGCTAAAACCATATCTTACCCACAGAGGGCTGGTAACCCTACCAGATCTGCTGCATGCGGTAGTAGCTGAAGTTGCCCCACATCTGCGCGGCGCCGTGGTGGTGGCGGCGCGCAAAGAAGCGCTGCGCCCACTGCTGCTGGGACGGCGGCACCGGATACACGTCTCCAAATATGGTGGCACGCGCGTTGGCCAGCCCACTCCACCCGGGAATCTGGGGAAAGGGGGAGTGGGGGGGAAAGGAAGGGGGGGGGGAGAAGGGAAACAAGAACGACGAGGGGGGAGAGAGAGCAGTTGCTGAGGTCCCTGGCACCGGGTTGCAGGGAAGGATGAGCCGGCTGGGCAGGTTGAGCTGGGTGCTGCCTCCCCAAAGAAGCGCTGCGCTGCGCCCACTGCTGCTGGGAGGGCGGCACCGGATACACGTCTCCGAATATGGTGGCCCGCGCGTTGGCCAGCCCACTCCACCCGGAAATATGGAAGAAAGGGGGGAAGGACGAGGGGAGTGCAGGGCAGATTGAGCCAGCAGGGCGAATTGAGCCAGCAGCTATCTTCTAAAAACGTGCTGCGCCCACTGCTGCTGGAGGGGGCGGCAGTGGGTACATGTCGCCAAATATGGTGGCACAGGTGTTGGCCAACCCACTCCACCCGGGAGTCTGGAGAGGTGGAAGAAGAAGTGGGGATTGAAAATGGCAAAAGGAAATAGGGGAAGATGGGAAAGGGGAAAGGGGGATGATGGGAGGGGAGGGAAAAGAGGTGGGTAGAGTACCTTCTCTGGTGCTGCTGACGAGCGGCCTAGCAGGGCAGAGAAGAGTGGTGATTCAATCATTCAACCTCCATTCTTCTCTGGGGAGAGATACCTTTGGTCACTGTTTCTTGGGGGGGAAAGAGTGGTGGGCGTCCCAAGCATCTTTCCCAGACGGATAAGGAAGGAACCAAGTGGTGAAAAAGACAAGAAAATATTTTTGAGGAGAGGAAACGAGAGAGAGGTGTGAGATGAGCGAGTTGGTTACCTGAACAACAAGAGTGCAGCGAGGGTCTGCAAGCATGTTGCGCGTGTGGATGGAGAGCGGCGAGAGGAGGAATATGGGATCTGCACACACGAAAGAAGAAGAAGAAAAAGATAACAAAAAAAACCAACAGAAAGCAGACTCCAGTTTAAGGTTACTCCACTTCTAGACAGCAAACAAATGAGCTGAGACTTTGAGATGAATGACCGCCAAAGTACAACTGTCAACATTCCAGAGAGCAGAAAAATGCAGCACTCACTTATAATTGGACAGAAACCATGTAGTATTTTCTTTGCAATCAGATCAAATAGTGTTTTCCACTCTGTATAAACTCAAATCTTGTTCCAGTGGAGCCTGCCCACTTACGGCCCTCGTCATCATTATTATTAATGTTCTTTCAAACACACCACTCAAAAAAACAGGTAGCCCTTCAACGGTGGTGCATGTGAGACATGATGCTGCACAGATGGGCGAAGCGTGCCTGTGTTGTGGACGGCAACAGCAGGAGAGGGCAGGCAGGCCGTGAGACACATGCATACAGCATACTACCTGTCTCACACACCACCTGCCACCCGTACACACACCACCCACCTCACCTTCCACACACACCACCCCTCTCACCTGCTCCACGAGGTTGCGCACGGCCACAGCAGGCGAGGGCGGCCCGTAGGGCACATAACACCTGCCTCACATGCCACCTGCCCCACACGCACACACCACCTGTCTCACCTTCCACACACACCACCCATCTCATCTGCTCAACAAGGTTGCGCACGGCCACAGCAGGCGAGGGCAGCCCGTGAGACACACACACGTACCACCTGCCCTACATACCACCTGCCCAGCACGCACCTGCTCCACGAGGTTGCGCACAGCCACAGCAGGCGAGGGCAGACCGTGGGCGGCAGTGGCGCTCTGCACGCCCCCCGACGCCGGCACTCGGTACAGCCCTGCCCCCCCGCTGCTTCCCCCACTGCTGCCACTGCTGCTGCTGCTGCTGCTGTCACTGCTACTGGCACTGCTGGTGGTGCTGGTGGTGCTGGTGCTTCCTGGGAGTGCCCCTGAACCTGCTGCTGCTGCTGCTCCTGCTGCTCCTGCTGCTGCTGCTGCTGTTGCTGCTGCTGCTGCGGCGGCTGCGAATTCAGCTGCTCGGTTCTCCGGGTTTGAAGGGCCTTGGTCCGATGAATAGAATTGGAACTGGCAGCGGGGTGGCGAGAAAGAGTGACAGAGATTGTGCGTGTGTGTATTTGAGAGAGGGAGAGAGGGAGAAAGGGAGGGAGAGAATGAGAGAGAGGAGGGGTGTGTGAGGTACAGCAGGCAACAGAGTAGAAGGTGGATGGGATGGGGTTGGATGGGTAGGAATAAGAAAAGGGAAAAGGTGAGAGAGCAAGGAAAGGAGAGGGCAAGGAACGGAGAGAGCAAGGAAGGGAGAGAGCAAGGAAAGGAGAGAGCAAGGAAGGGAGAGAGCAAGGAAGGGAATGTATAGCTCACCCCGTTATCCAGCGACACTGATCCACCCTCCACCAGATCATCCTCCCCCTCCTCTCCTTCCCCCTCCTCTCCTTCCCCCTCCTCTCCTTCCCTCTCCTCTCCTTCCCACTCCTCTGCGTGCTCCCTTTCCTCGCCATCCCTATCCTCTCCATCTCTCTCCTCTTCTGCACCCCATTCTTCCTCCAAATCAGACCCCTGCTGCCGTTCCCCCTTCCCCACGCCCACCCACCCACTCCCAGCCCTGACCCGCCCTTTCCGCCCTCTCCTGTCCGCTCTCTCCGCTACGGCCGCGCTATAGCCGCCGAGCGGGAGAAGCGGGCGCGCGAGGGGAGAATGGGCGGGTGCGCGGGCGGATCTGCATAGACGTTGGCGCGCGGTGCGCGGAGGGACGGGGCGGAGGGGCGGAGGCGCGGTGGATGCGTGGTAACTTCGGCTCGCAGCGCCGCAGGGCGGCGTTGGGAAGGTGATGGCTGGGGGAGGTGAGATCTGGGATGGGCGCAACTGGAAAGGAGCGCTGCGCGGAAGCGGACAAATGCAGCCGCGGGAGAAGGAGGGGGGGGGGAGGAGAGGGGGAGAGAGAGGGAGGGAAAAGGGGGGCGGGGGGAAGGGAAGGATGTGGTGGGGAGGGAGAGGAGGGGAAAAGAAGAATGGTACCGAGGGTTTATGAGGCGAGGGGAGAGCGTTTGAAAATGCGAGGGAGAGTGTTTGAAACTGCGAGAGTGGAGGGTTTGTAAAGGGGACACGTGATGCAATACGCGGATGGGGATTGCTGCACGAGTGTGCACGCAGGGTTTTGGGAGGACGAGGAGAAAGAAGACACTGTTTCAACTCGTTTGCTTCGGTAAGAAAGCCATGGATTCCTTCCTGCTTTCTTAAACCTCTCGTTTCAGAATACAGCCATGGTCTTTTCATTCTCTCTCTTGGATTTTCCAAGTTCACGAAGATCAAGCACGAGGCCTCGTGACATTACATTGCTTTTCAGACGTTTGAAATGCCACGTGGCTCTCTCGTTTTTTCATGTTCAAGAAGATCAAGTACGACGCCTTCCCCCCTTTTCCTTCTTCCACCTCTCCCCAGCTCTCTCCCTTTCATCTGTCCCTTTAAACCGCGCAAAGCCTCGAGAATGGTCTGCGTCCCCGTTAGAGGCTCACCTGTTGGCGGATCCCAGTTGGATCGGCGGGTGCATTCTGGCGGTCTGGCTGGCGGGGCCTGCCATGCTGCTCGCCCCGACCGCTGACTGCATTCCCGTGACTGGATCGCACCGCAACGCGCGACGATGCAACGCAGGTCGAATGAAATGGATCGCACCACGAGGCGAGTCAACGCAGATAGGATGGATCGCACTGAACGCGAGGCGACAGAGGTCGAATGGATCGCACGGCCAGGAGAAAAAGAGAAACTGGACCGAGACGGCAAGGAGAAGAGCTTTTCGAGGCGCTTGGAAGGATCGAGTCTGAATCGACGCAAGACGACGCGTTACTGTTAGCAGGTCGTTTGCATGCGGACGAGGCGGAGCGTCAAGCGGGGGGAGAGAGACGGAGGTAACGCGAAATGAAAGCAGAAAAACTGACGACGACGACAGTGGACGAATACGAACGACCAGGATCCGGTCTGATAGTTGCGATCACGACCGTCGTCTGCTATAAAGTGGTCCTGTGTACGCTGTGGTTGCTAGTTTCAAGTTCCAACAACATTCGCATGGAGGTGGCAGGGAGCTTTCTGTCTTTGCTCGGGAAATAGGGTGAAAGGGTTTGCAAAACCCGACCTGGTTGATAAGTGCGACTTGAGTTCATCTGTGAAATACAGATTCGCAAAGAAAGAAAGGGTGTGCACTAGTGGTTGAGACGAATCTTACACCCAAAGTGTGAAATACGTTAGAATAGCAAAGTCACAAAGGAATTACACCCAGAATGTCATGGAGCTGGTATGACAAATCTTCGATTTTGGGTGTGACTGTGACTCCTGATGCAATATGTTCACTGGAGCTGGACATCCACGCGGAGGTAGGAGCGTAGTGATGGACTTGTTGCTGAGTCACTTTTCAACGCGTGGCATGTGATCTCGCGTGGCGGCTGGTGGCAGAAGAGGTCCCCGCTATGACTAATCCCGCATTTCCTTTACGGTTCTGCTTACAGGCAGCAGCCAGAAGACCACCCTTTCACAGCATTTGCATGAGACTAAACATACAAATCTAGGTTGTAAAATAGAAATTCGTTTCTCAGCAATTTTTCTCCTGTCACCATCTTGGGCAGCAGTACAGACTGCGAAACAGACAGAAGGCACTGTATTTCCTGTCTAGGCAAGCAAACCAGGAGCTTCAAACGCAAGTGACAACAACGTGGCTTCACAAGCCTTCAAACGTTTTATGCTCTCCTCTAGTCGAGCCCTACGCTGATGATCAACAGCCTTCAGGGCTGCAATCTTGGATACGTCCCCACCATGAATCTCCCGCCACACAGCACCATCAGTGCCATCCAAGAGAGCATTCTCAAGGCACATCCGTATCTCCATGGGGATCACATCACACAACCGCTTATGCATCACCTTGGCATAAGAAAACATGTTGATCTGGAGATCCCTCGCAGCCTGGTCTTCATTGCTTATCAGATTGGCGAGTGAAGCAGTGCTGGAGGCGAAGTCACCAATAGAAGGAATCGGAGGAGGACCTTGACCAGAGTTACCGGGCTGGCCTTTCTTGAAATCAGCCATCTTCACGTGGATCTGGGACACCGTGTCCATGTAGTAGTGATTGAGCGTGAGGATGACCTTCTCCTCCTTGGTCAGCAAGTCCTGAATGAAGCGGCTTGCTGACTCCTTGGCCTTCCTCAGGGCATTCAGGCCTTGAAGATGAGCCACGTTGTTCAGTCCAGGGTACATCCCGCAGACGTGTGATGCCACAGCCTGCTGCACCTTGGTTGCATAAACAAAACAGTCATTCAACAGGAGCAGTCACGGCCCTTCAATGCTCTCCACGACCTCCTGAACAAGCTGCTTCACCACAGCCTGGTCGAACATGTTTGGGAGAGAAATTCCAGCCACCTCTTTCAGAGCCTCCTTACACCTTTCAGAGTAGTCTGTTCCAAGGAAGTCCGGAAGAACACCCCTCATCTCAGCCTCGAATTCGTTGAACTTCTCATGCAGCCTGGCAGCATAGTGCATCGCCTCGTCGCTCTGAAACGGGCCATACTTCCCGCTGATGACACCACTCATCATGTCCCGTCGCTTCTGGATTGTTGAAGACACAATACCCAGTGCTGCAGCGCTAGAGGTGGCAGCGAAAGGAATGGTCTGCAATTCAGACTCCTTACCAACAAGAGCCTTCTGAATCGCCTGCCTGATCCTTGGGATGCTGTCCGCCACCCTCTTGGCCTGGATCTCCGTCAGCCGTTGAGCGAGGGCTGGAATTCCCAGGCACTGGGGCTCAATCTGGGACAATTCAGGATGGTTGTTGAAGAAAGCCGCTTCCGCCCTTCTTGCGTCGTCATGAGATGCATCAGCGTCTGTCTTGTTCCGGACACACACGTAGCCAAGCCCGATCCGCACCGAATTTCCTTGAATCTTCTCATAGAGGCCATCAGGAGCCCGATCAACCTTGGTGACGACAGCCAGGGTGCGATCGCCATCCTCGTCAACCTCTTGAGACATCACAATGGACTCGCATGTAGTGAAATCCACCTCCGCTGCAAGAACGTTGAGAATGACGCTCTCTTTTGGAGTAATGTAATGCATGATCATTGCCTTGACCTGATCGTAAATGTCCTTCGGCTGGTCTTCAATAGGAACACGTGTGATTCCAGGCAGATCCACCAGCGTCAAATCAGGTAAGTCGGGTCGCTGCACTTGGAGGGTGATCGGGCAATTCATGACGCCTTTCCGATTCCCAGCTAAGGCCACAGTTGCCTCAGAAATCTCCTGCTCAATCATTTCTTCGTCAGGCAAGACTTTAGACACCTTACCGGTAAGGGGGGTGTATTCAATCGTTATCATTTCCTGTCCTTTCACACAGGACTGAAGCCTCAAAATCAGTGGCACTCGAGTGACAATTCCCTCGACAGGCTGATTCCGGACAGGTTCTCCAAGACGGAGGACTTGCCGCTGGACTGGTCACCGACCACAACGATCGTCGCGAGCTCGATCCCCTCTTCCTTGAGACCCAGAAGCCGGAGCTTGTCGATTGCATCCAGCATCGGACGGACATTCTCGTTGAAGGAGGAGATGAGAGGAGCCATGGTGAGACGAGGAGGGTTCAACTGTGCAGGACTGGTAATAGGAGCCAAAAGAGAGGCTAGAGAACGTAGCATGCTTCGCAACAATGATACTTCCTTGAGCTAGCTTTTCATATTCGCCAGAAGCGGGTCCAGCGTAGCAGTCAAGAACGATCAGAGAGCCCACCCCTGTCATGTCGCGCACTGGCAGCAGTACTCACAATCCTGGCAAGGTGCATTCGGTCGGCTTACTCAATGCAGGAGTGGGTGAACCCGCACGAGGCGGAATCTGGTGCATGTGATTCGCCATGCTAATTAGTTTGCAGATCGTGAACCTTGGAAATTATCGAAGCGTAAATAGACGCTCCTACAAAACAAGGGAGGAGGGAAGCTGGCAAGTTCCGACTGTGGGCGTGGAGAAGGCATGGGTTGAATCACGGGTCCAAGACTGTAAAGCAAAAACCTGGAACCTCGGCTAAATATGTCGAGAGAACACCTTTGCTTGAAAACGGCAATCTCTGAGCTTGTCATAATCACGTCGAGAAACTATGAGAACCTATAGCACACGGAAACGCACAGAACGAAGTTTCTCGAGGTATGAACAATTGGACAAGTGGTTCGGAGTAGGCACAACACGAGGAAAAGAAGGTACTACCAACTAGCATCTCGTGCCAGGTGATATCAAGGCGGAATTCTCGAGGTTAGATGGAGTATTGACTTTTTGGGCGTGAAGAGGAGGGAGGGAGGATATTTGCACTGCGAAATGGAGTCGAAATCGCTGACAGGTGATACGTACAAACCGAGCCAGAATGCACTTCGAGCACGAGTACGGAGGGTTGAGTGGCAAAATTCGTAACACAACTGCACTCAAACAGTTCGGTACATGTCTGTGAGGTAACCCAGATGAAACCTGGGGTCAACAGCCTTGCCTGGCACGAAACTGGAAGTGCCTAGGTACAGTCCCTCGCTCCACCCATTCCTACAACTCGTGACGTGACGAGATCCTGCTCCATACTCCGCGCCTTTGCTGACAGTCGTTCAGCCTTCTATCAATACAGCTCGTTTACTGGCTTGGATTACCGTTGCCGCTCGTTGCAGTTCCTCGTAGACTACGGAAAGAGGGATGGCCGACGATGCAGCACCAGAAGTGGTGCTCGAAACAACAATGGGGCAAATAACAGTCGAGGTAGGTTATAGGTTGAGCGTAGTTACCAGTGAGGGTGGCAAAGAGTACATGTTTGTCAGTCACATTAGGTATTTCGTCACGTGGTGGCCGGTTTTGAGCTTGCTATCGTTTGGCTATTCGCGCCAAACTTGTTAGGGGATCCGAGTTTCATATTCTTTCCGAGTTTATTTGTTCCCTAAACATGTGTTCTATTGCCAATATTGCATCGGATCTTCTTCCTTGTCCGCTCCCTTTCCGAATCACCTTGCGAATCACTGTGCAGTTGTACCACAAGCATGCTCCCAAGACGTGCAGAAACTTCTTAGAGCTCTCACGGAGAGGGTACTACAACGGCACCAAGTTCCACCGAGTGATTAAGGTGAGCTGGCAGCGCGAGATATGGTGAGCTGGTAAGCCCAGTGATCGATTTGAGCTGCAAATTGAATGATCACGTCCATCTGGTGGCATTCCGGCTGGTGATTTTAATGACTGGATTTTGTAAATAGTTGCAGGGGCCGAGATTAGCGTTGGACCCTTTGCAAGTCCTTGGTGGCAATTCTTTTATTGTATCCGTAGCTTTCCAGTCACCAATATTGCTGCTTGAGCAGAAGCTCGGTTTTCCCATTCACCCCTGTCACTGCTGTGCATTGACAGGATTTTATGGCCCAAGGCGGTGATCCCACAGGGACTGGACGAGGAGGCGAGTCCATCTATGGGTGAGTGATCATTAGGGGTGTTTTGATCTAAGATAAGGGTTCTGTCACTGCGTATGAGCTCTTATTGCTGCAAATCTCAAACTTCATAGTACTGCACGTCCCAGTTGTTCTCAGCAGCTTGACCCTCTCAGTTCTCGTCCGTACGTTGCCACTTCTTCCCCTCATGCTCCCTCGTTTGAAGCTTTCTTCCTTCTGTCTGTAGCCTCCACCTCACTCTCCTCTGCTCCTCTCATCATCACGATCCCCTCTCCTTCGTTCCTGTGCCACCTTTGAAGGTGATATCACTCACTCCGATCCTCTCTTCTCCCCCTGAACCCTCCCCCGTCCACCTCCCTTTTCTGTTCTCCCACGGTCCAGAGCCAAGTTTGAGGACGAGATAACGCGCGAGCTGAAGCATACAGGCGCTGGCGTGCTCTCCATGGCCAATTCCGGGCCCAACACCAACGGCAGCCAGTTCTTCCTCACCCTCGCCCCCACTCCCTGGCTCGACGGTGCGTGGATTGAATCTCCTCGCCCTTACTCCCTGGCGTGATGGTGCATTCAGTGATCACCCTCGCCCCCGAACTGCCTCAACAAATACTGATTCAACATTCAATGCCTCAAATGCACTGCACTGATATACCGATTTGGGAGGTTGCTAGATTGACTGTATCCTGTCCTGTCTCACTTGATGTTCCTGTTGCACTGCAGGAAAGCACACCATATTTGGCCGCGTGTCGCATGGAATGGACGTGCTGAAACGGCTGGGAAACGTGCAGGCCGACAGGACTGACAGGTGATGAAGCAGGAATGGGATGCGTTCTTGTATGCATGCACAGCAACCCAGTACTCTTCCCCGCTAGTTGGTGATGCGTAGCTCTTTCTGACTTGGTGATTTTGTGCTTTTGTGTCAGTCTTACTTTCCCATTTGCGCCGGTTCGCTCTGTCTCGCCTCACCTCACTCTGATCCTTCCGCTTGGTGCTGTGCAGGCCCATCCATGATGTGAAGATTATCAAGGCAGTTCCAAGAGACTAACCTAAAGCTTTTTTGTGTGGCTGGTTAGGAGATCGCAGTATCTATTTAGCGTCAATAATGGGCTTTTAAAATGCCTCAGCAGTTCACTTCATGCTTTGCAAAGCACATCTTAGATTTCCACATTTAGTCTGAAAAGTACACTGTTAGCTCGCAGCCACAACGGGGATAGCCTGATCAACACCTCGGCCCGGAAACACCTCCCTAAATATGCTTACCGTACCTCAGCAATTGCAGCACCAGTTTCCATGGCGCCATCGGCGCGCTCCGTCGTCAGGGCTCGCTTGCTCCTGCCGTCCAACCCCTCCGCGAGTTACGCCGAGTACACCTGCCGCGTCGCATTCCAGGCCCACTCGCGTCGGTACGTCCGTTCCTAGTCGCACTTAAGCAGCCTGCCGCGTCGCACTCTCGGCTCGTTGAACCTGTCCCGGGAAATTCCTTCTTTGAACTATTACGTGGCAACGTTGATTTGAGGCGAGAACTCGCTTGCCGTGCGGGCCCGCGATATTACTCTTTCCACTCTGACTGCGTCTTTCATGATCCTCGCTAGTGTCCTTGCCTCACCCGCGTATTTCCCTCACTCTTTAAACCTCTCCCCCTCCTCCCCCTCCTTCAATTCCTCCCAGCGATGGCGTGTGTGACGCGTACATTGCATCTGGACGCCAGGTGTATCACTGTCAGATGCCAATAGGTCAGGAGAGTCTGTTGCAACAGGGCAAGGCCCAGGTCCTTCTGCCGCACCCTGTTGAGGTGGGTTCTGTAAATTGACACTGTTCATGTGGGTTATGTTATGCACATTGTTCGGGTGCGTTGATTTACCCTGTTCACCAAGCCATGTGTAAATTCACGTTGTTCATTTTTCAAGTTGGTTCAAACCATTCAGGTGGGATTCAGGAAGTTTTTGCTTCCATCATATACATGCCGCCTCATCATCATACCACCTCTTCATACCACCTCTCCATGCCACCTCTCCATGCCACCTCTCCATGCCACCTCTCCATGCCACCTCTCCATGCCACGTGTCCACACCATGCTACTGGCCACCGTTTCTTAAAGCGTCTAAAAAAACACATCATGATGCTTGTCCAATTCTCCCCACCTCTCCTCTCCCCTCCCATCCCCCTTCCCATCCCCCTCCCCGTGTCACCACCACCCCCCCCCCCCCCCCCCCCCCCCCACTTCAGGACGTCACTCCAGTGCCTGTCCCCTCTCTCCTCCACGCAGCGCCCGTTCAGAGCCTCGCATCTGCTGCCCTGGGAGACACCGAAGGGCGAGCAGGTGAGCAGAGAGTACTCATGATGAACACGTGGCTTACATAAAACCCTAAATCAGGGAGCCAGTACTGGAAGACGGCACTTGCTCATTAACATCTGACTCTCTCAAGCACGAGCATATGGCTTACCTGTGTTTTCAGTAAACACAGCACAAGCATACATACAAACTCGTCAGTTCAAAGAGCCCCACCCCACCTTTGCTCGTTTCTGCCATGTCTTCATCTCTCCCCCACTTTTGACTTCTCTTTGCATGACCTTGCTTTCCCTCGTCTCTTGGAATTTTCTCTTCCCCTTTCCCTTCACTTATGACCTTGCATCCACCCTTCGCTCCTCTCCTCCCCTATCCAATCTTGCCTGCAGCCGCCACTCTCCTTTCCTCAGTGGACTCACTCGGTCGAACCATCGTCTCCACCTTCTCCTCTTCATCTGGTAAGTCAGCCAGGTGAACCAAGTCAGCCATGTGAACCAAGTCAACCGAGTCAACTCTCCTATTCCTTTATTCACTCTCATCGTCACTTGTATCTGTCTCCTTAGTTGACCAAGACAAGTGCACGCCACCATGCTGCTGCTCTCCACCCCTCCCCTCTCCTCCCGTCCCCTCCTCTCCCCTCCCCTCCCCTCCCCTCCCCTCCTCTCCCCTCCCCTCCCCTCCCCTCCCCTCCTCTCCCCTCCCCTCCCCTCCCCTCCCCTCCCCTCCCCTACTCTCCCCTCCCCTCCCCTCCCTTCCCCTCCCCTCCCCTTCCCTTCCCTCCCCTCCCCACCCCTCCGCTCCGCTCCCCCTCCCCTCCCCCCACGTGTCAGCAGCAGCAACTATTGATTCCATCTCCCACTCTCCCACTCTTCCACTCTCCCACTCTTCCACGGCTCTGCAACCCCTCCTCATCTCTCCCATCTCCTCGCACATCGCAGTGACTCCAGACTTCCTCTGCCATCTTCCTCCCCCCCTTCCCTTTCCCCCCAACTCTCCCATCTCCCCGCACATGACAGTGACACCTGACTCCCTCTGTCACCTCTCCCTCTTCCTCTGCGGCATTTCCAAAGTCCCAACTCGGACCATGCTGCTCATATGCTTCTGCCAACTTCTTTCTCCCCCCTTCCCTTTTCCCCCACCTCTCCCATCTCCCCGCACATCGCAGTGACTCCTGACTCCCTCTGCCACCTCTCCTTCTCCCCCTGCGGCATCTCCAAAGTCCCAACTGGGATTACGCTGCTCATATGCTTCTGCCAACTTCTTTCTCCCCCCTCCCTCCTCCCATCGTTCCCATCTCCCCGCACATGGCAGTGACTCCTGACTCCCTCTGCCACCTCGCCCCCTCCCCCTGCGGCATCACTGAGTCGGGCCCATGCTGCACTGCCATCTCTGTCACAGGGCCCTCTACCATCCGGGTACGGCACACGTACCAAGTGCTCATTGTGCTCTGTGTGTGTTACTGTACGTTATGATTGTACCGTGCAACTGTGTCTGTTAGGAGGTGACTTTTGAGTCGACTTAAAAGTCACCACGTACCAAACCAATGTGCTGTGTGTGTGTCAGTGTTCGTTTTGATTGTACCGTGCAAGTGTCTGTTTCCACCTGCTGCAACTCTGAGCCAGGGCCGTGCTGCACTGCCATCTCTGGCACAGGGCCCTCCACCATCCGGGTATGGCTCACTTACCATTGTACTGTCTGAGTGTTCGTTTAAAATGTACCGTGTAGGTGTTTGTTTGCCTTGCGGCATCATTGAGCCGGGGCCATGCTGCACTGCCATCTCTGGCACAGGGCTCTCGACCGTGCGGGTACAGCAAAACATATTCAGTGGTACAGTGTTGTGTAAATCTTCGTGGTATGTGTACAGTGTATGCACGCCATGAATATTTACATACACTGTGTTTGTGTGAAGTACAGTACAGTGTTTATTTACCCCTGCAACATCTCTGACTTGACTTTGATTGACTCGGTTGACTCAACTTGACTCACCCTCTCCCCGCCTTCCTGCCCCCCTCCCTCCTCCCCCCCCACTAGTTTTTACTTCCCGCTTCTTCCCCCTCTCTCTAGACCTGCACGACCCACACTCCACTTCCCCAGCTTCCCAGTGTTTCCCCTCCCTCTTCCACTCCACCTCCCCTTCCCCCCCCCTTTCTCTCCCCCGACCAGGTGGCTACGTCCTGCTTCTTCCCCCGATCAGTAGACCTGCACGACCCTGCTTCCCCCTCCCCCTGCTTCACACTGTTTCCTCACCCTCCTCCACACCCACCCTCCCCTCCCACCAGGTGGCTACGTCCTGCTTCTTCCCCCGATCAGTGGACCTGCACGACCCTGCTTCCCGCTCCCTAGCTCGCCAGTGTTTCCCCTCCCTCTTCCACATCACCTCCCCTTCCCCCCCCTCTCTCCCCCCACCAGGTGGCTACGTCCTGCTTCTTCCCCCGATCAGTAGACCTGCACGACCCTGCTTCCCTTTCCCCCGCTTCCCCCTTGCGCACATTCCGCCTGCCCTTCCCCCCCGCTGCTGTGGGCTTCCTGGGGGGGACCGAGAGGGGCAGGGGGGGAGGGAAGCGGAGGGGAGGGGAGATGGAGGGGGAGGGGGAGGGGAATGCAGTTGAAGGGGTGAGGCTGCTGGCAGTGTGTGAAGGGCCCCAGGTATGTGTGGGTGGGGGTCTCTTTTGTGCGGTGGGGTGTGGTGGAATTACTCATCTGTGTGTTTGGGGGGACTCATGTGCGTGTGGGGTGGGGGGGGGAGTTCATGTGCACGGCTCAGCACAGCTCGCACACGCATGCATGCATGCATGCAAGCAAGCAAGCATGCAGCACCACATGATTGAACGCTGAATTAGCAACCCATGCAGGCAGCCCCTGTCTGGAATTTTCCTAGCACCAACGTCTGACGTCACCATGCCATGTCACCATGCCATGTCATCATGCCAGCTCAGCATCTGGGACGAGAGGGCTGCCGAAAACGGTGGCTGCATCCAGCGAATCACCGTCTCTCCTGCTGCCGAACCTCTCTACGCACTAGCCTCGACAGTAGGCTCGGGAACAGGCTCGGTAACAGGCTTGGTGGCGGTAGGAGGGGCCGAGCGCACTGTAGCTGTGTACGACGTCCGGAAATGGGCGGCAAGAGGCCGATGGGTCGGCTGCGTTCGTCAGGACGTGATGGGAATAGCTTTCCCTGTGGCTGGTGGTGAGAGAGAGGTCTCGAGACAAGAGGGACAGGAGGGACAGGAGGGACAGGAAGGACAGGAAGGGCGTTTCTTTGGATCTGATGAATCTGTGTTTGTGTGGAGCGGTGACAATGAGGTGGTGTGTGGGAGGTGGACTGAGGGCGAGGGGAGGGCGGGATTGGTGCGAAGAGCAGAGAAGGGGAGGGGTAAAGGGGGGCGTGGACAGGGGGGCAAGGGGGGGGAATGGGGAGGGATTGAGGCCGGGGGGAGGGGGAGGGCACAGCCAAGCAGAGAAAAGGTGAATCAGCAGAACAAAGAGCAGCAGAACAGGGTGCAGCAGAACAGAGAGCAGCAGAATGGTATAGAGGGCGTCTCTAGGAAGGATGTGGGGTTTGCTCACAGGGAGGAGGATTCGGGGTTGGACGGAAGAGGAGTATTGGGAGAGAGAGGAGGAGGGGAAGGCGGAGGGGCTGGGGAAGCAGAAGGAGAAGCTGCAGCAGCAGCAGAAGCAGAAGCAGCTGGAGAGGGGGGCAAGGGGGCATCGCGAGTGCACCAGTCGTTCCGAGGAGACAGTGCCTGGTGCGGCATTGCACGGGTGAGTGACTTTTAAGTCGAGTTGAAAATCAGCAGGAAGGAGGGGCCGGGGGAGGGGGAAGGGGGGAAGGGGGCATGCGCGCGCATCGCGAGTGCACCAGTCATTCAGAGGGGACAGTGCCTGGTGCGGCATTGCAAGGGTGAGTGCGATAGTGGGTGCACAAGAGAACCTGTGGATGTATTTTGAGGATGGTACCAAACCACATTTCCCTCCTCTGAGCTCCTTTCCCCTCCTTCTCCCCATTTCCATTTAAATACACCCTCCTTTCCCACTCCCATTCCTTATATTTTACGTGACCCTCCTCCCCACGTCTCCCCGTGGGCATGTGCAGGATTTCAACGCCAATCTGCTTGCAGGCTGGTGCATGTCTGGCAGCTTCATACTCGCCGATTGCACTCTCTAGTGCATAAAGTTATAGTAAATAAAGCTACGGTACGAGAAGATTGCATGTGAAAGTGCCCTTTCAATACCGGCTGGTACATTCTGTCTGGCTGAAGTGATTTAGTGATTGCAATGGAATGTGGTACCGTAGTTGTTCAAGCCTATCTTCCAGAGCACCCAGTCAGTGAACATGGATGGACCCATAGCCATGGCCAAGCCAATATGCCGACATGCCTCGAGCTAGCCAAGTAGCCACGGTAGTACTGTAGCTTGCTCAATCGAAGCCCGGATAAAGTACTGGGACAACGATCTGCTGTGCGCTTGTGTGCGGCCAATTGGTGGAATACCGGTACCATGCAACGAAGCATGACTTCATGTGGAGCAAGACAAGATGCTATGCTTGCTAGTACTTCATAACTTCACTACAACGTAGGAAGGATTAGTGTGTGTCTGGTGTTGCCGCGATAGGCAGGTTTGGAAGATCATTGGACCGTTGGAATGTGTAACACCTTATCAGGCTGTTAGGAAAGAGATTAGCCATCTCCCAAACATTGAATGTTTGACACTTCATTGAGTTCGATTTAAATAGCTTTCACCTTCTCGACAATCTTTTCAATCACAGAATCCATAAGTTCAGGGTGTGCAGCCGGGTCAGGTAGACCCCAATCCTCCTCGGTGGTGCTTGCAGGGAGGTCCACCTTGGGTAGGTTCGGCTGCAGGCAGGGGCAACCAACCACGAAGTTTGCAATGCACAATTGTATGTCAATAATAAAGCAGCAAGGAAATGAGCTAGGTATGTGATAACCAAAGCATGAGGTAAGCGCGGAGAGGGAAAATGGGTTGGCATGGCTGATGCACAGCCGTCAGGCACCACACAACACCATGCACAACCGAACCAGGTAACGACACCTGAGAACAAGAGTCATCATCAGGAGCCACACAACAGGCCAGTAACACTGATGAATGAACAACATTAATACCACACGACCCAACAGAAACCATAACAACTATCATGACTCACCAGACAGCCCATCATCACAATGAGGTCCCAGTTGTTCTCCAGGCCCCCAATCTCCTCATCCGCAATGCCCTGAGAAAGAAGCAAGCAGGAGACAAGCAAGACAGGGAAGACGAAAAAGACGACGAAGAAGACGTTGTAAGAACAAGGTAATAATGGAAATGCCGAGTGACAAGATGCAACTGTTTCTGCATGTGCCCATGGTGAGCACCAATGCAGTTCCGCCTCTGCCAGTGCATTCTGTGGTGAATCTGTCGCTTTTTTCACCTTGGAGCGCGCATGGTCTGTGGGATAGCCTCGAGTCTTTAGTGCCTCGATCATGACCGGGTTCAGCTTGCCTGCCGCGTCCACACCTGCCACGAGACAAGTCACAGCAACGTGAAAAGCCACACGTTTATCACCAAGTTGCTCGTGTTTTTTTTCAAGAATTTTCAATGCACCTCAATACCTGCCACAAAGCCATAGCACATATTCATCACCCGGTTGCTCGTGTCGTTTAAAGAGTTTCCATCATTCACCCACACCTGGTACCTATCACAGCTCAGCTGATCATGTCATAAGCACAACCAGAACGGAATATGCTCGTGTTAGCATCACATCTGCAGACATTCACCCTCGACATTTGAAGGAGAGGCTGCGTGAATCGCATGTGCTCAGAATTCGTCGCTGTTAAGGTAGTTCTTAATCAGTCATAAATCTAGAATCGAAGACTTCGAGCTCAGGACCATGAAGTCAGGACCACATATCCAGGGCCACACATCAGTCATAGTTTTAGGCCCACGAATTCAGGTCCATGAGAACTGAACCTTGAAACCTGGACCCCACGTTTCTGGAACTTAATCGTTCAGGAACCGGAAGTCTACGCTGGAAATTGCTTCCTCCAATATCAGCCCAACCGGTACTCCGACTTTCCTACATAGAACTCTCGATTCCCTCAAATGACCTTCCTGCAGCAGACTTTGCTTTCATCGCCCCCATTCTTCCATCATTCTTCCCGCATTCATCCCCCTCTATCGCGTGATACAGCTCCGGGCCCGCCCGTACCTGCGCTTGCGACTTCAAGTTCCGATCGCAGATGCCTCGCGATCGCTTCGGCAGCAATCGACCGGTTCGCATTGTGGCTGCAGACGAACAGGACGCGCTTCGGCATGCTGCCTATTCGGGTTTAACCTGGAGATGAAACGCCGTGATTGGATGGAGAAACATACGGGGAAATGGAGGAAAAGGTGGAGGAGAGGGGAGGAAGGGTAGCAGGGGGTTTCAGGCGGGAGAGATTGTTAGGAAATGAGGCAACGAGAACAACGACTGAGGGGGTTTGTGGGAAATTACAGCACCAGTTGACCCATCGATATCAACCAAGTACGGAAGAACCCTGAAGCGACGGAGTGGTAAAAAAAGGCCAAGAAGCGGCTAGACAGCTAAAAAGGGGACATGCGTTCTGGAAATGAAAAAGGCGAAGCGAAACAGCTAGGACTGACCTCGAAATTGGAGGTATTACTGGGGTAAGTCAAACTCCGCCAAACTCTTCTCAGCGAGCAGCGCGCGGAAAATGGCGCTGGGACAGCCTTTTAAACCTCTTTCGCTCGAATAACTCAAAACGATAATAATTGGACAGTCCCGTCGCCAGCGCAATTGTTTCCGTCGATGTGAAACGTCGGGTCGTGCTCATCGCAGCCATGCTTTACCTGGACCGTGAGCCACCAACTCAGAAAATCCTTCCTCTCGAAGTCCTCGCAATGGAGAATGGAGCTGTGTGGGCGGAGAACAGGGGGAGAGGGAGGAGTGGGGAACAATCGGGGGGAAGCGCATTCCCCAATTCCCCCTTTTTCCTGCGGAGAGAATATTCCTTTTCAAGGAATTTCCTCGAAAGGTCGTGAGCATCTAGAAATTTTGGGGGTTCGAATTTACCCAAACAGACGGAAACACTCCCGAGTACCCGCCAGTACCAATTAGATTGTGAGATTCAGCCAAATGTGCTTCTTATGATGGGGAGAGCGAATTGTTTTTCGGCGCATTTATCCGTTCAAAGCAACTATATATCATTACCCGTTCCAAATCGTTAGGTTTGTGACCGAACCCTCAACATAGAAAACACAAAACAATTGCTGCCAAGCAGCACAATTCCCGCGAGATCTGCCTTTTAGCTACGCGCCTCCTGCCGCCAAATACGCCTCCCTCTCACATCACAGGCCTCAATCGTCGCCACGCCACGCCATGTATAAAGGCACGGTCAATATCAGTGACTGGGAACGAAGTTTGCACGTGCACCTGTCTCAATTCGTTCCGACTTCGTCCCGAACGCTCCAGGAGGGTCGACTTACTTTCTCCGTGTCTGCCAGTTATTAGATCACATTTCGTCGCCATCGACTGACAGACCGGCGCCATGGCTGAAGCGCAAGTTCAGGGTGTGGAGGTGCAATGCGTGCCGGAGAACAAGACGCTTCCGCCGCTGCTCGCGTCGTCAGAGCCCGGCGCGGACGAGCAGCAGCTGGGCCTGCGGTGCCGCTTTACGCGCAGCACAGGCGAGACGGAGGAGTATCCGGCTACCATGAAGAAAGCGGGAAGCGGCGCGACGCATTTCAGCTGCTGCTGCCCGTCTGAGGTACGTCAATCAAGACGCGTCATCGTAGTATCGTCATTCGAAGTCACGTGTCACGTCATCAGGCAGGGTAATAGAAAACACGAGTTTCCAATGGACGGGTTCTTATCCTGATGTGCGACTCTTGCTTCCGCCTTTCCCCTTCACTTACATCATTTTTTCTCCTCACACCCCCAATCGCACCAGATTACATCTTACCCCTCAATCCCTTCTTCCCCTCTCTCCCCATACCCTCTCCCCTACCCCCTTTCCCGTCTCCGTTCCCCACAAAAGGCCGTTCCGCGGACGGACTCGGCGCGCGCGGCGCTGGTGTGGGGCGCGGAGGGCGAGGAGGAGGTGGCGTGCCGCGTGGTGGAGGCGCTGGAGGAGAAGAACGCGCCCGCCGTCAAGGAGCTCTCCGCTGCCGGTGGGTTGCTACCGCTGCCGGTGGGTTACCGTCGGTTGGTTACTCTATGTCACAGCATGTCGCTGCTCGTCGCTTCCTCGCGGTCTAGATTTTCCTCGCCATCTCTCAAACTTCCCTCATCCTCCCAAGCTCTCCCCCTATCCCCGCCATCCACTATTTTCCTATGCAACAACGTGCAGCCGTGTTTCGCAGCATGACGCTGCTTGATCGCTACCTGCCAGTGTGCATCCTCCTCGCCATTGTTATCAGCGTGCTGCTCGGCTACTACGTCCCCGCCATACCCCACGCTTCCCTCCTCACCCCCTCCCCCCTCTCTGCCCCCCTCTCCCCCCCCCCCCCAACGTCTTTGCGCTCTTTCTCCCTGTAAATCGTGCAGCCGTGTTCCGCAGCATGTCTCTGCTCGATCGCTTCCTGGCCGTGTGGATCCTCCTCGCCATGATCATCGGAGTGCTACTCGGCTACTACGTGCCCGCCATCAGCGACGCCTGGGAGACCGTGTCCGTGGCCAATGTGTCGCTCCCCATCGCCATCGGCCTCTGGTGGATGATGTACCCCGTGCTCTGCAAGGTAGGGTTATTTGCCCCGTGCTTTGCACTGTAGGGTTATTTACTCCGTGCTCTGCAAGGCAGTGTTACTTGTCGGGAGACTATCGTGAGCAAGCAAACGGTCATAGGAGCATGCGAAGTCGGGTTAAACCCAAAGACCACTTCTTTGCTTGCGACTCAGGTGCCTTCTTGACCCCTAAACCCGATTTCCGAACCCAGGATCCAAACCTGAGATCCAAACCCCAACTTCCGTCCTCTCCTTCCCTGTGTGCGCAGGTTCGGTTCGAGCTGCTGCCGAAGCTGTCCCGATCCTGGGGCCTGCTGTTCCACATTGGCATCTCCCTGGTGATCAACTGGGTGCTCGCTCCCCTGCTCATGACTGGTGCGTCCCTTTCGATTCATACCAGTTCTATGCGCCTTGAAGCACTTGACAAGGTTTATTTACTGATTGCGGTACTTCCCGCATTGGTTGCTCTTTCCATTCCAACAGCAAGCCCTCAGCTCCAAGCCATGATCCATACCAAACTCATCCTTGTCTATCCACTCTGTCTCCTTCCATTGCTCCCCGCCCCACCACCAGGGCTGGCATGGGCCACTCTCCCCGACCAGGCAGGGCTGCGCTCAGGCATCATCCTGGTGGCTCTTGAGTTGGCTCAAGAGCCATCGCTCACCTTACCCCACAATCTTCTCCCTCCACTCTGTCTCCTTCCATTGCTCCCCTCCCGCCACCAGGGCTGGCATGGGCCACTCTCCCCGACCAGGCAGGGCTGCGCACAGGCATCATCCTGGTGGGAATCGCGCGCTGCATCGCCATGGTGCTCATCTGGAACCACCTGGCGGGCGGCAATGCCGAGTTCTGCGCCATCCTCGTCGCCGTCAACTCTATCCTGCAGGTCCGTGCCTGTGCTTTGAGGCGCCTAATAATCGTCACACTCCTTCCTGCAGGTTCATTCGTGCCTGCGTTTTTTAGGCGCCTAGAGAATTAGTCTCACTTCACGCCGAGTTCTGCGCCATCCTCATGGCCGTCAACTCCATCGTGCAGGTGACTGCCTGTGCTCCTGCTCTGTTCCGCCGTTGCCTCCCTTCTTACCTGCTGTCTCGTGCTCCGTTCACCCAAGTCTTCCTTCCCCTCTGTTTTCTGGGTTTCGGGTCTATACCAACCTCTTCTCTTCCCACATTCCTTACACCACCTCACTTGCTCGTTACCACCACAGGTGATCTTCTACTCGCCTCTGGCCATATTCTACATCGACGTGGTGTCCCACGGCGGGTCAGTCGACGTGTCCTTCTGGACCGTAGCCAAGAGCGTGCTCATCTTCCTCGGAGTGCCTCTCCCCTTCCATTCCCCCCCACAGGTGATCTTCTACTCGCCGCTGGCCATATTCTACATCGACGTGGTGTCGCACGGCGGCTCCGTGGACGTGTCCTTCTGGACTGTCGCTAAGAGCGTGCTCATCTTCCTCGGAGTGCCGCTCCTCGCGGCTGTCATCACGCGTTTCACTCTGCGGGGGCTGGTGGGAGCCAAGTGGTACGATGAGAAGTTCCTGCCGTGGTTCGGCCCCACGGCGCTCATCGGGCTGCTCTTCACCATCTTTGTCATGTTCTCGCTGCAAGGCCAGAACATCGGGAACAACATTGGCAAGGTATGGATGGAGCTCACTAACGTTCTGCTCTCATTTCCATTGGCGCTTTTCTTGTGCAATGCAGCCTGTTTTCAGATTCTAGAATTGTCGCTCACGTCATGTTTGTACCATGCAGTTAACCTACCAATAGTTATCTTTCCACTCATCCCCTGCTCCCCTACCCCTCCACATCCATTCCTCTTACAGGTTGCTCGTGTGGCTGTGCCTCTCCTGATCTACTTCGGAATCGTCTTCTTCAGTGTTATGGCCCTCTGCTGGCGCCTTGGCTTCGCCTACTGCGACGCCGTCACTCAGTCTTTCACCGCAGGGAGCAACAACTTTGAGCTTGCGATCGCCGTCGCCGTGGCGTCCTATGGCATTGGCTCGGACGAGGCATTAGCTGCGGTTGTGGGGCCGCTGATTGAGGTGCCTGTGCTCATTGGGCTCGTCTATGTCACTCTCTGGATCCGCCAGAAGCTGCAGTGGAAGAACCATGGGGCTGTCCTGGATGCGGATGATTTCTTGGAAAAGGAGTGAGCATGCATGCAGAGCTGGGCTTTTTGTTCATCATGTAATTTGGAATGCTTTGTTACTGCTTCGCAAAGGAGTATGGTATCTCTATTGTATTTTTGGCATTCCCCAAGCGCCCTTTTAGAATTCATTGCCCACAAGGCTTTGGTTTTCCTTTGGGAAAGGTTTGTTTTGTGGGTCTTACACTTTTCCAGGTGGTGTGAAGGCCCATGTACCATGTACCATTTTGAGTTTTGAGTTTTAGGCCCAGGCCCAATCGTCCGTTTCCATGTTTATGTTATTGTTCGAATGTAGGTTTCCAGCTGCTTTCTGACAGAATGTTTGTCGTGGTTCCGTGTCGTGTGAGACGTCGCACAGTCACTTGCAAAATAGTTGGCGAAGCCTTCCGAAAACTTTAACATAGTTTTCGCACAGACGGTTCGTTAAAACGAACCGAAATAGTCAAAATGGTTACACGCCCTTCCTGCCATCTCACTCGCTCGTTCAATTGCACCCGTAACATTCCCCAAAAACAACCTTAGCGAAGTCGGGAGGTCACCATAACACTTTCGCACACTATTCGGAAGTTTTCGGCGTCGCACTCCAGTGTCGTATCGGACCGCCTGACGAGTTTGAATATGTTTGAACAGAATCCTCTTTCGCGAAGCGTGTTTGCGAACTCCAGGTGAGTATGAAAATGTTCGCCCCCTGGTCGTCGCTTCTCTTTGCTTCTTTCGTCCACAGCCAGCACGACTTTGTGCAGCATCTAGTTCAACCGATCTAAAACGTACCCAAACTAGCTCAACTCAGAATGTTGAGAGAAGAATTCAAGCACAGGGAGGAGAGCTTTATTCTCTGCTTCAGATTCCGAATTTCCTTGATTCTTCAGGAGCCATGAACGCGCAGTGGCAGATAATCCACGACTACCATATCGGCGACTTATTCCCACGACGCGGCGCGGCAATGATCGTTTCCTTCCGCTTCGCTCTTGTCGTAAGTGGCTCCATGCTCACGCCCTCGGAGGTGGGCTGAGGCAGCCTCGCGATTCGCGATCGCGAGGCACCATGGTTGCCAATGTCGTTCTGGCGTCGAGATCGCCACTATAAAGCCTTTCGAAACCTCATCGTGCTTCATTCTTCTAGGAATCAACTACCCTACTCTTACCGGGCCTAAGCTTCATCACTCCAGGAATTTCCTCTTCTATTTTCTTCATCTGCCAGTTTTCCAAGTTCTTACCTTGCCGCTAGGAGCACCATTCACATCGCCGTGTTGTAGCCACCTGATTTCATATCTTCGATAAGGACAGCACCGTTTGGCACTTCTGTCTTTCGTTGATTGCCGTGTTGTTCCGTTACGAGCTCTCCTCGGCGCCATCATGACTCGAGCGTTTCTCCTCCTCGTCGCGCTATCCGCGCTATTAGCAGCCGCTGCCGGCGTCGCTGCTGCGACTAAGCCCCCCCGCTCGGGCGGGATCGTTCTGCGCGGCGGCGACCGGAGCGTGACCGGCGGGACGGCAACAGCTGGCGGGCGTGACAGCAGCGGCGATTCCCACGCCGATTCGCACGGCGCTTCGCGGCACGGCGGGTCGCTTGGCGGCGGGAGAGACGAGGAGAGGGAGGATGAAGACGGAGGCCGCGGCGGGCATGGCGGCCCGGGGCATGACAACACCGAGGGCGAGCACGAGGGCGAGCACGAGGGCGAGCACGAGGGCGAGCATGAGAGCGAACACGAGAGTGAGGATGAGAGCGACGATGTGGATGAGGATGAGAACGATCACGAGAGCGAGGAAAACAGCGAGCATGGGGGCGGTAGCAGCAGCCATGGCGGCGGGCTGTGCGGGCGGGGCGGGTGTAGCAACGAGTCAGGCGAGGTGGGGTACTGGAAGCTGCCCGACTATGGCCGCTGCTCCATCGGCACCGGCAGCACCACCAGCCGCAGTGGTGGTGCGCCGAGGAAGGCGGATGAGGCGTGGTGTGCGGGGGCGGCGGTGGGTGTGAAGGAGTGCTGCAGCCGATGCAGCAGCGTTAATGTCACTGCGGATGGCACCCCTTTCAACTGCCGCCACTGGGTGCACATCCCGTGAGTGCCTTGCCTTCCACCTGCCACCTTGCGTCTTTTCCGTCTTTTACCTGTCTGCTTTTGTCCACTGCGCATTTCGACGTTCCTTGCCGCGAACTGGTAGTCTCTGTGACCATTTCATTCAACGGGTTCTCCTCCCCCTTCATCTCTCTCAACCTCTCCGGTTTCCCTTTTCCTCGTGCTTCAAATCTCCCAGCTCTCCCGACTCTCACGACCGCGGCAGCAGCGAGCAGCGAGGCAAGTGCGTCCTCCTGCCGGCCGTGGACGCGCTCACGCCCGAGAAGGCCCGCAAGGGGCGGTGCGGCACCAACACGGGCGGCGACACGGTGCGCGTGGGGCGGCGGTGTGCGTACGGCGAGAACGACCCGCACTTCCTGGGCGCGCACGGCACGCGGTTTGACTTCAACGGGCTGCCGCGCCGCTCCTTCTGCCTCTACACCGACCGCCACCTGCACGTCAGCATGGCCATGCGCGGCTATCTGGACTCCCGCCCCCTTGCACTCCCACCCACTGCTGGTAACCGTAGCATGTTGGCTGCAGCCCGTTTTGTCAACGGCTCGGCAGTCCGCACGTGGATCCGACAGCTGGCGATCATGTGGCACGACGGCGAGAGCAGCAACAGCAACAGCAGCAGCGGCAGCGGCAGCGGTGCTAGTGCCGGCAGCAGCACAAGTGCTCACTCTCTTGTGCTCACGGCACGGGATGGCAAGGAGCAGACTCGCGGCGCCCAAGGGTTCCTCGCATCCGCCACTCTTGACAACAATCCTCTCCCACGCCTAAACCTTGGTGAGACCCACGTTCTCTCAAACGGGCGGCTGATTCTGTCCTTTGTGGGCCAGGAGAAGACCGGCCCGTTCGACGTGGACGTGTACACCCTCCGCCTGGAAAATCTCCTGGAGCTCGAGCTGAAGCTGCGCGCGGCGCACCCTCTGTTGCAAACACCTGAGGACGCGCAGGTGCACATCAACCTGATGTTTGTGGACTCGAATCCGAGCAGCGAGGTGCACGGGGTGATGGGGCAGACGTACCGCAGCGGCAGGGAGCAGCGCACCTTGGAGTATTCAAAGCTGGCTGCTCTGCTGCACCACCCCGTGTCGGTGGATGGGGAGGAGGGCAAGGGGTTTCTGGATGGGGAGGTGGGGGATTATGAGACGTCGGGCGTGACTGCTGCTGACTGCAGGTTCACGGCTTTTAATGGCGGGCAGCTTCCTCGACAGCCAGAGGAATGAGCAGAAAGGCATGAAAGGGGAGGATACTCATGTTGCTGCTATGACTTTGCCCCGGATCTTGTTTCCTCCAGCCAAATGTCTCGTTTCTCCTTCGCTTCTGACTTTTCAGAGCTAGGGTGTTGTTGTAACCTGGCGGTATTTTGAATTCTTGTACGATGCACTTCATGTATATTATGGTCCCCATGTGTTTGAAGTTCAGGTGGTCTTTTGACACGAGTTTCAGAACCATTGATACGATATGATAAGACGAACAAAGGAAATAGGGAGGTGGAAGGCATTTTAGGTAGAACGGTAACAGAGCATAGGACTGTTGGGGGGATCCTGGTTTATGATAAATTACATTGTATACAATTACCTATGCCTCGGTATAAACACAGTGGACTTTCTGGCGAGTTTCGCCGCACACTATGCGACCAAGTCTGCAGCACGTAAGATGACGGAGTGTGCAGCATGCTAGGTGACGGATCTTTCAGCACGTTGACGGAAGTTGCAGCACGAAGGAACATCAGTTCTGGTTGCAATTCAAATGAAGGCGACTGGCGAGGGGCAAATGGAGGCGGAATCTGGCGCAGCGAAGTAGTTGGCGAAGAAGGCGAAGTAGGCTGTGATGGCGAAGGGCAACGAAAACGGGAAACGGGGTTACCAGTTGGGGGAAGGACATGCAGATACTAGCGCTGATGGTGGGCCGGAGCGGGAAAAGCGCGAGATAGACAAGGCAGAAGCAGTAGGGGGCGACGGCGGCGGAGGAGGGGGAGAGGCATGCGGAGCAACAGGAGAAATCGAGGTGACGTCAGCTGATGACGTCCCCATGTCCGCGGATGACGTCAGGACTCCATCGAATGACGTCACGATGTCAGTGGATGACGTCATGGCTCTCCTGTTCTCCCAGGACCCCCTGCTTGCCCGCGCTGCTGCCGTCACTCTCAGCCACGCCCTGCTCTCGCCCGCCCTCTCTGTACGTAGTTAAAGGCCACCTTCTTAACTCAAGTCAACAAGAGTCGTCAGCAAGAGTCAAGCAAAGTCAACGAAAGTCACCTACGCTCAGGGTGGCCCCGCTCTTGCCCGTCATCCAATCTTAAGGAGCTTCAGAAGTGGTCCATTTATACTTCCCATGCAGGCATCGTTCTTCATTGAGGAACGTAGCCTGTGCATTTGCGTTGCGGCAGGACACCCTCACTCACAAGTCAGGTCCACTCCACTCTGACCTGCCTGCCCTCGGGGGGTTACCAGTTACCCTTTGATGCACCTTCCCGCTCCTTCCCTCCTTCCCTCCGTCTGCTGGAGTATCGTCCGCTCCGCTGTGACTGAAGATTCTGCAGCCAATTCGTTATTCCAACTTCCATTCTCAGTTTTGATTTTTGAGTCGACCTAGACCATCCGTTCTTTGTTTCTACAGCAGCCCATTCTCGTCCCTGTGTCGCCCACCCTCTCATCCCTTCCCAATCCGCACATCTCTCTATCCCCAAACCCCCCTGCGCCCCCCTTGCGTGCAGGGCAGCACGCAGCAGCAGCAGCAGTGGTAACCCGTTGCTGGAAGGACACAGTTGCTGCTATCGTTGCTGCCACCTCCACCCCTGCTATCTCGGCTGCTGCCGCTGCCACTGCCACTGCCCCTGCCAATGCTGCCAGTGCTGCTGCTGCCGGTGCCACACCCACCCCACGCTGCGCCCCCTCCCCTGCTCTGCGTTTCTTGCTGCTCCGCTCCTCTCCTGCTACCTGCCCGCCCTCCGTACCTCCAGCTTTGCCTCCCAAGGCAACTCCAAGGTGCCGTCCTGCCTGCCCTCCCTCCGTGCCGCCGGTCGTCCCTCCCAAGGCAACTCCAAGGTGCCGTCCTGCCTGCCCTCCCTCCGTGCCGCCGGTCGTCCCTCCCAAGGCAACTCCAAGGTGCCGTCCTGCCTGCCCTCCCTCCGTGCCGCCGGTCGTCCCTCCCAAGGCAACTCCAAGGTGCCGTCCTGCCTGCCCTCCCTCCGTGCCGCCGGTCGTCCCTCCCAAGGCAACTCCAAGGTGCCGTCCTGCCTGCCCTCCCTCCGTGCCGCCGGTCGTCCCTCCCAAGGCAACTACAAGGTGCCGTCCTGCCTGCCCTCCCTCCGTGCCGACCAAAGCAGAGGGAGCGAGTGTTGGGGGCAGCAGCAATACTGGATTCACAATTGAGCCTCTTCCCTTCACTGCTCTTGGCTCGAGTCCCAACGTGCCTCTGCCCTGCTTTCCGTCTCATTCCACTCCCAACGTGCTTGTGCCCTGTTCTGCACTCTCTCTCTTCCACTCTCTGCTCAAACGCCGCCCGCACTCGCAACCGCACTCCCCCCTCCACCCCTCCCCTGCCCGCCTCTCCTACCTTGCGCACTCGGCCACCATTGCTCTCCTGCACGCCACGCCATGGCCTTCCCTCTCTCGCCTCCTAGCCTCTGCTGTCGCCAGGTCCTGCTACATGCTGCTGCTGCAGGGACACCAGGGGCAGCAGGGGGAGGGACAGTCGTTGGAGCAGCAGCAGGAGGGACATATTGGGGAACAGCAGGGCTCAGAAGAAGCAGCAGCAGCAGCAGGAGCAGGAGTGGCACGAGCAAGAGCAGCAAGAGAGCTTGCGGTGGGATGGTTGACTCGCCTGCTTTCTGCCTCTATCAGTGCAGTCACCAACAGCAACGGCGTCAGCAGCATTGAAACGCCTGGCACCGAAAGCTATAGAAGCGACAGGGAGGATGCTGCTGTCAGCTGCAATGGAAAGTCCGGCGCCACAGGCAGTAGAGCTGGTAGCAGCAGAGGCGGTGTTGAGGACGCTGATGTCAGCACCAAGCAGGCTGACGACACCAGCAGGGAAAGGGACAGCGAGAGCAGCAGCAAGGAGAATGGGGCAGCATCTGCTGAGCTTGTTCCAGTGGGAGTGCGTGTTGAGGGGACTGAAGAGGCATCTATATCAGTGGAAGGAGTGTTAGCAGTGGTGCAGACTTGGGTCTCTCACTGCCTCTTCCCCATGCTCACCCCTTCCCCATCAAGTGCTCCTCCTGACCCACGCCCACTTGGTCCCAGCCACTCCATGTACCTTCACCATAAATCCCTGGTAATGCCCCATGTTTTTGAATATTTATTGAGAAGTCTCAAAGTCTAACTATCTTTACCACAAATATTTAGTGATGCCTCAACCTACGAGGTGACTTTTGAGTCGACTCAAAATATCTAGTGATGCCTCGACCTACGAGGTGACTTTTGAGTCGACTCAAAATATCTAGTGATGCCTCAACCTACACAGCAGACCTCCCTCTCTCCCTCACACACACCTCCATTGCTGGCCCTCTTCTCTTTTCATTCGAAGGCTTATGCACTTCCGCAATAATGTGTGGGCTGTGTTTGCCAGAATGCAATTTCACCATAGTGTTTCCCTTCCCACGTATACTTCTCTCGTCTCTCCACCAACTCTTCATTCCTATCCCCTTCATGCACTCTCACACCCTCTCCTCTCTCCTCCCCCCCCCCCCCCCCCTGAAGGCTCCTCTCAGAAGCTGCTGCTTCGCTGCACACCTCTCCTCCCCTCTCACCCCCCTCTCTCTCACACCATCATCGCCTACCTCTCCGCCCTCCTCCCCCGCACACTCTCTCTCACCACATCTCCACACACACACCCCTGCTGGGTCTTCTAGTCTGCTGGTCACTCTCCCGCTGCTGCCACTGTTGCTGCTATTGCTCCTGCTTCTCCTCCTGGTGTTCCTGCCGCACCTACTGGTCCTGCTACTGCTGCTGCCACTCCTTCTGCTCCGGCTGCTGCTACAGCCGGTTCCTCCCCCATGGCTCACTTGCTACGTCTGGAGCTGCTGCTTCTCCTCCACACCACGCACGTTCTCCTCTCCCACACCCACTGCTCGCTCCACCACTTAGCAAGCAGGGGTTGCAGAGATGGAACAGGAGCGGGAGGGGCAGGAACGGTAGGGGGAGAAGAGGGAGGGGTTGAAGGAGGGATGGGAGAGGGAGGGGAAGAAACATCAAGGGTGGGAGCGGCAGGGGTGAGAGGGCACAGGGCGTGCGAGGGGAGGGGAGGAGGGGGATTGGGGACCGCCCTGAGCAGTGCAGCCGGTGGCAGTGTCAATGGGAGCGGAACGGTGGGGGAATTAGCAGTGGAAAGGGTGGGTGCGGTGTGGCAGTCGCTGGAGCTTCTGCAGAGAGGCATGGCCGCAGGTGGGTGGGTGGGTACGTACGTACAGTGTTTTTTAAGAGTGGAGTGTTGCATGGGAGGGGGCGGTGTGGCAGTCGCTGGAGCTTCTGCAGAGAGGCATGGCCGCAGGTGGGTGGGTGGGTGGGTGGGTGGGTGGGTGGGTGGGTGGGTGGGTGGTACAGTGTTCAAAGAAAGGGGCGCGTCTGTACGTAGATGGTAGTTTCTTTCTGGAACATGTTATTTCAAGCAGTAATCATGTGTATATACACACCTTTCTTGCCAAACCATGCGGCATCTTTCTTCACGCCATAAACCCCATAAACCCCTACCTTCGCTTGTACCTTTCCTGCAGCTGCGTCGCTTGCAACCCCTCACTCTCAAACAGCATCAACATCACTTGGCATGGGAGCTTGCCCACCGCACCTGTCTCTGCCTCCCATTGTCGACCTGCTCTCACACGAGGTCAGCATGGGGGGACTCGCCCTCGCCCTTGACCTATCCTCACTTGCACCCTCCCTGCAGCTGCTTTGCTCACAAATCCTCACTCACAGAAAGCATCATCTGGCATGGGAGCTTGCCCATCGCACCTGTCTATGCCCCCCATTGCGAAGCTGCTCTCACACGAGGTCAGCATGGGGCCCTGCCCTGACCTGCCCTGACTCGTCTTGACTCGACGTGACTCGACTTGACTCACCTTGACTCATTCTTCCCCAAGCCACGAGCTGCTGTCACCAAGGAATGCCAATGTGCTACTTTGCTGCTTGCTCGTCCCGCACGCTTGCATCAATGCCAGACGTTTCTTTGGCTCCTTGGCATTAAGTCAGATCTCCTTGTTACTTGCATTGAACTGTGAGAAGCCATCCCACTGCTCACTGTTCATCGAATGTAACAAGGAGATATAACGTACTGCTTTCTCACTGTTCACCTTCTATAGTCATGCAGCGCTGCTTTCTCTCCTTCCCCATCCCAACCAACCATAGGATGACATATTGCTGGATGCTTTGTCACTCCTGGCCAGTCAGATAGGCCTGCTTTTTGTGGGTTAATTAAACAGCGAAACTCGAAGAAAGAAGAAGATTCGTTTCCAGACGCTTAAAAACGTCTCAAAACTCAAAATCGTTATGAGTCGACTCAAAAACCTTTTGGTCGGTCAGATTAGCCTCCTCCTTGTGGATTTCAATCTACAGTGAAACTTTGGCGACATCTGAAAGAAAGAAAGAAATAAAATATATCATAAACACACGCACACACACACTCACACACACACACACACACACACACACTCACACACACACACACACACACACACACACACACACACGCACAGAGAAATCTATTTTGAGGTGTCTGAAACAGCCAACACTGTTTTCTCCCCTTTCCCTTCCCACCCGCAGGACGATGTGCTTCTGGACGGTTTATCATTGCTCGCCTCCATATCAGATCAGATCAAGTCCCTCGCAGCGTCCAAGCAATTGAAAGAGTTAGCAGCCGTGGCAGCACAAGAGCTGAAAGTTCCTGTGACAGGTGCTGCAGTGATTCCAGCAGCAGCACTCGCACCAGTCGCAGCAGCAAATAGGGCAGCAGAGGCAGCAGAGGCAAAAGAAGCAGCAGAGGAGGCAGCACCTATGGTGGTGCAGGGCTGGTTGGAGGCGTTGAGTGAGGCGGATATCCTGGGGTGCTGGTTGCAGCAGATGGGGTTCGATGGCACGGCTGTTGTTGATCTGCTCATGCAGCCCGACACTGCACCTTCCTGCCTTCGCCTGCTGCTGCTGTGAGTGCTGTTTTCTGTGAGTGCTGTTTGCTGTTAGTGTTGCTGTTGTGAGTGCTCCAATGCCTGGCTCGTGGTTTGCTAGTTGCAGAAGATGGGGTATGATGGCATGGCTGCTGTTGACCTTCTAATACAGCCCACCACTGCTCCCTCCTGCCTTCGCCTGCTTATGTTGTGAGTGTCGTTTGCTGATGCGAGTGATGCTACTGTGATTGTCGTTTGCTACTGTGAGTGTTGCTAGCTCTGGCATGCTGGGTGCAGCAGATAGGATATGATGCCACGGCTGTTGTTCACCTGCTCATGCATTCTGCCTCCGCCTGCTGCTGCTGTGAGTGCTGCTGCTGTGAGTGCTACTTGTGCGGCTAGCACTATGTGGTTTGTGTGTAACCATCACATTCATGTACTGCTCCTATACCTGGCTCCCGCGCTAGGTTCCTGTCCCATCCACACCCCACCCAACCCTCCTCACTTCACCCTCCCCTCCGCCCTCTCCTCCCACTGCTGCCTCCCATACTTCCCACTCTCTCTGCCACAGGTGCCTGCCAGCGGCAACTGCCACGTGGAAGCATGCGATTGGCCGTGAACTGTGGCTACAGTGTGTGGGGTCGCCGTCAAGGGAAGTGAAAAAACAGTTGGAGCGTGGAAGGGAGAGGAGACAGAGAGACGAAAGAGGAGGGAGTGATGGAGAAGATTGGAGTGAGGGCGAGGGAGAGGAAGAAGAAACGAGCGTGAGTGAGGGAGAAGTACTTAGGAGAGGGGCGGAGGAAGAGGAAGGGGTGAGTGGTGAGGAGGAGTGGAGCAAAGAGGGAGAGGAAGAAGGAGGAAGGGAAGGGCGGGAGGAGCCTATCAGTGAGGGAGAGGAAGAGAGAGAGGGTATTCAAAGGACGTGCAAACGGCAGCTGGTGGGGGAACTGGAGGAGGGGACGGGGAGGAGAGTGAGGAAGAGGAGGATGGAGAAGGTGGGGTGCGGTGGTGATGGCGAGGAATGGTGGCACTTGACTGATGGTACGAGGAAGGAAAGGAGGGTGGATGGAGGAGAGGATGAGGGAGATAGGGAGAAAGAGGACAAGGACAAAGAAGATGAGGAAGAGGAGGACGAGGAGGAAGGGGGGGAAGGTGGGGAAGAGGGGGTAAAGGAGGAAGAGGAGGAAGAGGGGGAAGAGGAGGAAGAGGGGGAAGAGGAGGAAGAGGAGGAAGAGGGGGAAGAGGAGGAAGAGGGGGAAGAGGGGGAAGAGGAGGAAGAGGAGGAAGAGGAGGAAGAGGAGGAAGAGGGGGAAGAGGAGGAAGAGGAGGAAGAGGAGGAAGAGGGGGAAGAGGAGGAAGAGGGGGAAGTGGAGGAAGAGGGGGAAGAGGAGGAAGAGGGGGAAGAGGAGGAAGAGGGGGAAGAGGGGGAAGAGGGGGAAGAGGAGGAAGAGGGGGAAGAGGGGGAAGAGGGGGAAGAGGAGGAAGAGGGGGAAGAGGGGGAAGAGGGGGAAGAGGGGGAAGAGGAGGGAGAGGGGGAAGAGGGGGAAGAGGGGGAAGAGGGGGAAGAGGGGGAAGAAGAAGAGGGAGTCAAAGTTGATGACATGAGATTGGATGACACGGAGCAGATCGATTCTGCTGTTGTCACGCCGGCTACAGTCACGTGTTCCCCAGCTGGAGTGTCACAATCCGTAGTGATGTGTTCTCTCCGATGCCTCTCTCAGCTTCACACGCGACTCTCTCGCCTGCAAGACCTGGGGCTGTTCCCCTACAACGTGCAGCCACTGCTTACCAGGTGAAAACAACAGAAGCTCCTTGTCCAGGTGAGGCGAGTGGCTGAGTCAATTCAGAAGTCATGCTAGAAAGTAATTAGGGGAGGATGCTTGAACTTTTCGTACATTTCCCGCCTCCCCCACCTGCCTTCTTTTGCGTTTCTCCTCGATTTGCTGGTGAATATATTTTAGTGCTCCCCGCTTACATCTTCCCTGACCTCTCCAAACTGAACAGGTTAAGCGACTTGCTGAATTATCGGCTCTGATGCTCACGGAGATCATTTCAGAGTGCATAGTACGGTAATGGTACCGTATGTCTCTTTTCATGGCCATGTCAACACCTTTTCAAGTGTGAGAAATTTTCTGAAGTAGCCTCGGAATACCGTGTGGCCTACGGTAAAAGTTATTTTCTTCCTTGCCAGTTTACTCTCTTATATACCTAGTGCCGGTAGAACCGTTTCCAGTAAGCAATTTGAAACTGTGCCAACAAATAACATTTCTACGCGGTACATGTTTGTTGAATCTGTTTGGTGTCGAATGGTTCCACACCACAGTCCACCAGGTAACGAAGGTTGAATCTGCACTTTCGCTCTAGAGGGCATGATGCAAAAAAATACATAACTAAACCTAGACCAGTCCTGACAGAATAGAAACCGTAAATGAAGTACCAATTCCTAGTACATAAAAATAGGTAGTACCGTAGTAGGCAATGAGCGGTGAAGTTAGGAACTACTTGTACAAACTTCCTTCCTGAATCTGTACATCCCGAGGTGCCTCTCCACCATAAGAATTCTCTAAAACAGCATGTCCATCATGCAACAACAGCAAATGCAAGCCATCCTGCACAAAGGAGAGAAAAACGAAGAGGCGAGACATCAATCACGGCTCCTCGTTGCAAACGATTGAGCCTGGAATCAACGAAGTCGGCAAAGCCATACCAAACTCACGAGAAACGTGTTCGACTTACAAAGCAGCGCAGCAATCAGAACCATCGGGGCCGTCTCTCTTCTGCACAACGACAGTCTGATGTGGGGGAGGTGGGTGGTGTCCTTGCGGAGGATAGCCTTGCGGAGGATGCCCTTGAGGAGGGTATCCCTGAGGAGGATATCCCTGAGGCGGATATCCAGGCTGTGGGGGGTATCCCTGAGGAGGAGGAGGATATCCCTGAGGAGGGTATCCCTGGGGAGGATAACCGGGAGGGGGGTAACCCTGAGGTGGGTAACCTTGAGGAGGCGGTGGGTATCCCTGAGGAGGTGGAGGATAGCCACCAGGTGGTGGTGGATAGCCTGAAAATCGATTGAAAATAACAGAATCGTAAGCACCAAAGCTACAGGTTAACTAAATAGCTAATGACAATGACGGACGGTGTGGACACGGACGTCAAGTAGCTTCGTCACCTTGAGCGGGAGGCGCTCCGACGGGTGGAGCTTTATCCGCCATATCTGCTTATGTTTTTCGCGAGATGACTCTAAGATCTGAACTTCCTAACTCGTTATGATTCAACAGGTATGTGCTCCAAGAAGGGATGAGATCACAACAGCGGAATATTGAGCAAAATGAACAACAGCTGCTGCCGCTGGTAAAACTATCAGCTGAAAGCTTTGTTCAAAGATTCCGTCTGGCCTGGAATTAGAACCTGTCGAAAGTGGCAAGAAGAAGGGATCGCTGGAGTGAGTTTGAGGGGCACTTCGTCCAAACGGCAACGTCGCGAGTGCTTCTAAAGAGGGGTTTCGCGGGAGGGTGTGAAGAGTGAGGCGTTGGGTGTGCGATGACGTGCTTGAGGTGCCAAAGACCTCACTCGCACGAAGCTGTTTCGCCTCGCCTCGCCTCGCCTCGCCACCCTAGGGAATCCTCCCGTACCTAGGGATAACGGGGGGGAGGGGGGAGGGGAGGGAGGAACAAACCAGAGTATGGGCGACGCGATGCGACGGGAAGACAGCGTCGTTTTGATGCCTGACAGCTCACCACCGCCTTCAAATCAGGGTGATTCACTTCCCACAAACCGACTTTGAAAAGTACCCGTGTCAAGCCACCCAGTGTTTTAGAACGTCTAACGCATACTGAGAAACGATAAAATGGACATACATTTACGTTTGGACTAAGCTGGATGCTAGAATGTGATATATACATCAAACGAAATATAGTATGTTCTTTCTCCCTTCAGTTTATTCGATGCAAATCATTTCAGTGCTCAAGTTGCCCCCTTAGGGTTTAGGGTACTTCCACTAATTCGTCGCAAGACCAAGGATGGAGATAGGTTATTGTTGGGCTTTGCATGAATGGCAAGTGCTACTAGGAAAGTCCTAATCAGATTACTACCTGCCTGGATGTTCATACAAAAGAGAGCAGAAACTAATGTCAGTAACAAAGGAAAGCCAAACAAGTCAATATTCTACTTGTATTTTCACCTCAGTATCCTTATTAAACATTACTGCTGCAGGGAAATGACCCGCATTAGCTTGCCCTTGCCCTGCGGCCCAGTCTGGTTGGCAAACCGCCCGCTGATTTGCCCGTGAAGCTCATTGCGCTGCCGAGCCAGCGCTGCTCGCCGAGCCTGAAGGGTCTCAAACACAGCCTGCCGGTTGGGAAGGTGTGCGTGAGTTTTTTTCATGGATTAAGACAACCATTCAGAGCGGGATTCAGACTTAATAAGTTTGAATGAGAGGGTGCGTGAGAGAATGAGTAGGCATAAAGTACATTGCATCAGCATCCGAGAAACCCACCCACCCTCCTATTTCCACCTGCACCTTCCTCCTCACCAGTCCCCACCACCTCCCCCTCCCCCCGCCCCCTTTGTCCCCCGCTTCTTTCCAACATCTGCTTCTCTGCTCACGAGTGCTCATTCCACCATTTGAATTCTCCCCCCCCCTGACCTCCTCTCGGCCACCGTTGCCTCAGCTAACGCACACCTATTCACACAAACCACCCACACTTTCTTCACCCACCTCCTCCTTCCCACTCCCCTCTCGGCCCCCCTCTCCTCACCTGCTTCTCCTTAAAGCCGTGCTCCAGCTGGTCAAGCACCTCCGCCCCCATGGCCTCGCCTCTGACACACCCATTCTCTCAGACCACCCACTTCCCCCCCACCCCCTCCCTCTGCCAGCCGTTCTCCAGCTGGTCAAGCACCTCCGCCGCCATGGCCTCGCCTCTGACACACCCATTCTCTCAGACCACCCACTTCCCCCCCACCCCCTCTGCCCCCATGTCCCCCACACCCCCCTCACCTGCATCCTCTCCTTGAACTCGCGCTCCAGCGGGTCAAACACCTCCACCCGGACACACCTATCCAACCACCAACCACCGTTTCTCCCCTCACCGCACTGCACCCCTCCTCACCTGCATCCTCTCCTTGAACTCGCGCTCCAGCGGGTCAAGCACCTCCACCCGGACACACCTATCCAACCAACCACCGTTTCTCCCCTCACCGCACTGCACCCCTCCTCACCTGCATCCTCTCCTTGAACTCGCGCTCCAGCGGGTCAAGCACCTCCACCCGGACACACCTATCCAACCACCAACCACCGTTTCTCCCCTCACCGCACTGCACCCCTCCTCACCTGCATGCGCTCCTTGAACTCGCGCTCCAGCGGGTCAAACACCTCCGCCACCTTGGCCTCGGCTGAGAAGGCCTGCGGCAGCAGCTCTGCAAAGCGCCGCAACGTGCCCGCCTCCTCCTGATGTGGGGGAGAGGAGAGGGAGGCGAGGGGGAAGGGGATGGTGAGAGCAGGTAAAGCATGCATGAAAGCACCTCCTCTCGGCCACCTTGGCCTCGGCTGAGAAGGCCTGTGGCAGCAGTTCTGCAAAGCGCCTCAGCGTGCCCGCCTCCTCCTGATGTGGGGGAGAGGAGGCGAGAGAGGGTGAAGAGGGGAAGAGGGGTGACAGAGGGGAGTGTCAGGTGAGAAACAGCAAACAGCATTGTTCCCCTATCTCGTTGCAAAATGTTGTTACCTTGAGCCAGCTTCCTGAACTCTCGCTCTCTGTCTGCTTTCTCTTAGATTTTTTTCCTCTGGCCTCAACTTTGGCTCGTGAGCTGCTGCACCATCACCCTCTCAAGCTTCTCACACACACGGCCAGCAAAATCTGCCTCTACTGCCGTGCCCTCTACATCCTGCCGTGCCCTCTACATCCTGCCGTGCCCTCTACATCCTGCAGTCTGTAAAATATCCACAAGTTACTCCCCTGGATTCATCTCACCTTGACCTTGGCTGCGAGCTGCTGCATCATCTCCGGCGTTGGCTCGCTCTCAAAGTCGGTCACTGCCAGCAGAATCTGCAATCGCCGCTATCCCGGGTGAAGGGCAGCGAAGGCAGAGAGCGCAGAGAGGGTACCAAAGAGAAAAAAGGTTACACAGGATACTCAGGCGTGTAGTGGGAGAGACATGCTGCTGCAGCAGGGAAACTACAAGGCAGCAAGCAAAACAAGCAAGCAGCAGCAGCAGCAGCACCTTTTGGATGGAGGTGGCGGCAGCAGCGACGATCTCATGCGCGTCTCCCAACACTGTCTGCAGGGCGTCCTTGGCTGCTGACGCTATCTGCTTCACGTGTGATGCCTGTGTTGGAGAGACAGACAAAGGCAAACATGCGGGACGTAAGGCGGAGTGAGAGAGGGAGAAAGGGAGGCACTTATAACGTTTTCTCAAGAGAGGGAGAAAGGGAGGCACTTTTAACGTTTTCTCAAGAGAGGGAGAAAGGGAGGCACTTTTAGCACAGCACCGCACAGCACAGCACAGCACCACACAGCACCACAGAGCACCACACAGCACCACACAGCCACAGCACAGCATTACACAGCACTACACAGCCACAGCACAGCACCACACAGCACCACACAGCACCACACAGCACCACACAGCGCAGCACAGCACAGAGCACAGGACAGCACAGCACAGCACAGCACAGCACAGCACCACACAGCACAGCACCACACAGCCACATCACAGCACTACACAGCACTACACAGCACTACACAGCCACAGCACAGCACCACACAGCACCACACAGCACCACACAGCACAGCACAGCACAGCACAGCACAGCACAGCACAGCACCACACAGCACAGCACAGCACCACACAGCACCACACAGCACAGCACAGCACCACACAGCACGCATCTGAGCAGCATGGCAGCCGCGATAGAACCCCATCTCCTCCTGCAGCCCCGACATCTCCGCACAGCAATACACGCACCTGCACGCCTAAGAGACATCACAGCACACCCCAGCACAGCACCGCACCGCACTGCACCGCACGCACCTGAGCAGCGTGGCAGCCGCGGTAGAACCCCATCTCCTCCTGCAGCCCAGACATCTCCGCACGCCACAGCGCCTCCACCTTGCGACACCTCCCCACCACCTCCGCCACCCGCGCCTGCACCTCCCCCTCCCCCCCGCCCCCCCCCATCCCTCCCCCAAAGCCTCCCCCCTCTCCCACTATCCCCGCAAGCCCTGCTGTCAGCAGCTGTTCTATTGAAGGGAGGTCTGCCACACTCACTCCCTCCCTCCTCCTCCTCTCCCTCTCCCACTCCAGCCTCTGCTGAACCTCCATCATCTCCCCCTCTCCTCCTCCTCCTCCTCCTCCCTCCTCTGCTCCGGCCGCCCTGGCTGCTGCTGCTGCCAGCATCAGGCTCTCCCCGGTCCCCACGCCGAATAGCTGCGCGCCAGCTGGCACGAGCGCCGCCAGCTCGGAGAGCGCGCGCGTGGTGTCGTACACGTCAGCGATGGCGACGCGGATCTCCTGCAGCACTGCGCTGGACGTCTGTGGGCGGCAGAGAGGGGAGAGGGGGGGGAGAAGCAGCCAAAGGGGTGAGAAGTTGATGGGGGAGGGACAACAAGAGGGGAGAGTTGCAGCAGATAGAGAGGGGAGAGAGAAGGAGTAGCAGAGAGAGGGGTGTGAGGGGGAGGACGAGTTTAGTAAGAAAAAGGGTGGAGACCACGTGGTTGGTACAAGCTATAAGCATTTCAGACCATTTTTTGTATTGGTTTAGAGCGGGTACACCGCAATTAAAAAAACTGTTTAGAGTCAATTCTGGAAATCGACAGAATCGGAGGTGAACATGCGTCGGATCGCATCGCACCTCGGCGGGCAGGCTGGGGAAGACGACATTATCGAGGAGCGACGAGAGCGCGAGCAGGCGCGGATGGAGGTCCGCCAGGCGCCCCTCCAACTCGTGCACGCGCGCGTACTCCAGCAGCGGCGCGGACCCTGCAGGGGCTCCGCGGGGAAAAAGGAGCGCCCGTTGAAAGACGGCAAAATCGTAAATACAAGGGTGGGGAGTACGAGACGGATATGGGAGATCGAGAGAGAGAGAAACGGGTACGGGAAAGGGGGTGCGTGGGAGGGCGGCGCACCTTCGACGGAGCGGCAGAGGTTCGCCGCGATCCCCGCGACCGGGTCGCCCTCCTCGTTCGTCGCCATGAATCGATTCCCCGCGCACGGCAGCTCCGGCGCGCCCATCGCCTTCATGCTCGTCTTCTCCGCTCCGCCAGCTCCCCCCGCCGCTTCCGCGTCCTCCGCCTTCTGTGCGCCTTCCTCCGCGGGCAGCTCGCCGACCTTTCCGCCCGGCGCGGGCAGCAGCATCAGAACCTTTTCCCGCGCCTCTTTGCTCCACATCGCGAGCTCCTCCAGCTTCTCCTTCGCGATCGCCACCTGTCCCGACGCCGCCAGTAGGCTGCCAAGTGTCGGCGCGGGAGTGGCTGCCGCGGCCGGCGTTGCGCCGAACGGGCTCTCCGCGGGAGTGCTCCCCGCGCGCGGCGTGCCCATCGGCGTCGAGACAGCAGACGATGTGACTATAGAGGGGTCCAGCACTAGCGGCCCGTCTTTCATGCTCGCGCTGCGGCTCCCCGCAGAGGTCAAATCCATGCCGCCGTCGCCGTCATTCGCGGCGCCAAATGCGGCGGTCTTTCTGTCCGCGGTCTTATTGTTCGCACCCGCGCCGTTCCGCTTCCCGGGGCCGACTCCCCACGCGCGCGCATTGAAGCTTCCGCCGCCGGTTTTCCCCTTGCCCACGCTGCCCGCCGCGCCCGCCGCAGCGCCACCGCGCCGTGCGCCCACCGTGGGCGACCCGCTCCCCTTTCCCGCGGATGCGCGCGGGGTCGTGACACGTGGCGAGCCGCTAGCGAACGACGAGGTGCCGCGGCTGGTGGGGGTGCTGGGGCGGGCGGCGGAGGAGACGGCGGCGGAGCCGCGTCCCCCGAAGGAGTTCCGCCGCGTCAGCGGCTGTTGCGCCGCTCCGACCTTGCTCACCCCCTTCGCCACCGCCACCGCCGCTGCGCTTGCGCTCTCCTTCTCCTCCTGTTCCGCGGCGTGTTGCGCGTCGTCGAATAAAATCGCGGCAGCTGGCAGCAGTGTCTGGTCCAGAGTTCCCGCGTGCGAGTTCCCCATCTCCGCCCCGCCCGCGTCCTCCGCGGCTTCCGCTTCCGCCTGCTCCCCTTCCGCCTCGTCCTCCCCCGCGCGCTCGTGCAGCGCGCCGACAGTGCGGTGAAGATGGTCCATGGCGCTCAGCAGCTCGTTGCGAATGGCTTTGGCGGTGAGTGAAGCCGACTCCGACGCGAGCAGCTGTGGGGGGGGAAAAGGGAGGGGAGCGCGGGGGGAAGGGGAAGGGGGAGCACAGGGTAAAGGGGGTGAAGGTGGTCCATTGCGCTCAGCAGCTCGTTGCGAATCGCCTTGGCGGTGAGTGAAGCGGACTCGGAGGCTAGCAGCTGTTGGGGGGAAGGGGGAAGGCGGAAAAAAAGCGGAGGCGGAAAAACGGGGGAGGCGGAAAGTGTGGGGAAGGGGGTGGGGAACATGTGTTTATGACGCTCAGCAGCTCGTTGCGGAGCGGAACGATGGGGACGGAGGGAAGACACGTGGCATGGGTTACGAGAACCAACGACGTTGCTTTAACGGGAATGCAGCTGTTAAAATTACCAACGTCCCCTTTTAGAAAGGCAGAGCTCTAGAAGCGACATTACCGATGCGTCGGGCGATATTACCAATACACGCAATATACGCTGATTTGAGCACAAGGCGGTATAGCAATACACGCAATATACGCTGATTTGAGCACAAGGCGGTATAGCAATACACGCAATATACGCTGATTTGAGCACAAGGCGGTATAGCAATACACGCAATATACGCTGGTTTGAGCATAAGGCAGTATAGCAATACAGGCAATATACGCTGGTTTAAGCATGAGCTCACCTGGTGCTCTAGCTGCAGGTTAGACGACTTGAGCATTCGCACGCGATGGCGCGCCAAGTCGTCGCTCTCCTCCGCCTCCTGCGACACATGCGACACGTGCGACGGGGAACACGGAAGGGAAAGAGGGGCACAGGAGGGGACGAGGTAAGTGACAACACATCCAGTCGTGGCGGTAAGGAGGAAAAGGACGGAGAGGAGATACGGGGAACCAAGAGTGGAGGAAGTATAAGCGAGACAAGTGGAGGGGGAACGAGATACGTGAACCGACGACTGAAGGGACGAGACGGGGACTCCACGCTCACCGCACTCCCCTCTCTCGAACACGAATGAACGCGTTACGACTCTCACAGGTAGGCGTTCACCCAGGAGTATTATTATATTTCCCTTCTTGTAAGGACCTTCCTGCATGCACTCGCACGCAGGACTCCCCTCTATGCTCCCACTACGCCCCCTACTCTTACCCTTCCTCAACCCCCGTTCCCTTGCGCTTCTACTCTTTCTCACTTTCTCCCCTCGGTCTCTCCCCCCCCCCCCCCACCTCCCACACCTCCTCTCCGCGCACCTCTGCGTGAACGGCTTCCAGCATCGCGATCCTCTCCCTCAGCCGTCGATTCTCCTCCTGCAGCTGCTTCGTCTGCACGCACGCGCCGTTGGATGGACGGAAAGAGGGTCAGCGCGTGAGACGGGGACGATCGCACGACATGCTATGGCACAGCGCGGCATTTTCGGAATGGAATGGGCATTGCGTTGGCGACCGGAAGCAAAGGCCAGGACTCGCTTTTCGACTTGACTCGAAAATTGGCGAACGAAAGCATCGGGCTTCACTTACCACTTCTGATTGCTTCTGTTGAGGTTCGGCAGAGTCGATGGAAGAAGGAGGTTCGGCGTTGACAGGAAAAGCAGGTTCGGTAGGTCACATGGTGGAGCACACGAGGGAAGATTGATAGGACTGGGTTGAGAAACTTTTGCGAATTGTTGTAAGAGAATCCAATCAGGTAGGGAGTGGATTCGGAGAGGAATGAGCGGAACAGGGACGAACCGAGAGCTGGTACGAAACACATGAGCGGAAAGAGGCCAGACGGCGGGTCACAGCGGGCAGATATCGGAGTCCGGAAAACTCGAACGGGAGAATGCGTGGTAAGAGAATGCAGAGTGCAAGTACGGGGGGAGTAAATAGAGTCAATGGAGTCAATGGAGACAGAATGCAATGCATCATAACACGCAGCCCGCGTTACCTCTGAACCGTACGATCCCATGAAGGGTTGCAACACGATGGGCATCGACGGCTGCTCGGATTGCTTGGAGAACTCATCATCAGACTGCCAGCATAGGCGGAGGGAGAGGGGCACAGGTACGGGAGAACAGTTGGTGAATGAGATAGTGACGGGCAGAACGAGAAAGAATGACGAGGGGGAAAACGACTGCGGAATGGCGGAAGGAGAGAAAATGGTAGCATATGTTTGGGATGCGTTGGCATCCACCGTCGACAGGTTACGAGCTGCTTTGCACTGTCTCCGTCGCTTAGTTTAGAAACGTATCAAAGTCTGTTGCTATCTGCGTCGTTTTGAAGCTTCTCCGCGGACCTAGCGGCACCCCTCCCATCGCCGCCCCTCTCATCTCTCAGTTTAGCTAGGTTCCGGTCTAGACTCGGCGCGATTAAAGCCACCTGAAGGGGCGCCACGGAGGACTTGGACTTCGCCAGCGACCCGCCCTTTGCGCCCAGCGTCCTCCCGACGCGCGCCGCCGCGCGCCCAAGCGTCGATGCCACAGACGACCCCTTGCCCTTTTTCACGCCTCCGCCCGTGGATTGCGACCGGCGTGTCTTCCCCCCGGCGGACTTTTCGTCTTCGCCAGCTTTCGCGACAGTGAGCGGGTTACTCGGATGCGTGGCGCCGAGGTGCGAGTACCGTCGGATGATGTTGCTGTAATCGGACGGCTTGAAATCCTCCGCCGCGTTGAGCATGGCGTTTGCGTGGATGGCGTCGTGAAATTCCTCCTCGTCGGCCGGCATAGGATGGCTTCCCGCCATATCTGCTGGCGTTTTACTACTTCTCAAGGAACGAAGTTGAGCTGTATACTATGGCGTTCTCTTTCTGGTTTAGCTCTCTAAACGGGGAGTGTGATGTCAAGAAATGTAATGTATGGTTCTAATCACAACCGCCAGAACCGGTGCTTTAGGACTTCGGATATCTAAGGCGGTCCTAGCTTTCTTGACTTTGCAGTGGGTTCAAGACTAGGAAGTCCAGGATTGCAAGGACAGCTCAACCCTGGTAATCTCGTGCAAGGCAGCTGATAGCAAAGCACAAGCTTCGGAAAGTCAATGGAGGAAAGTGGCGCAAAGCCAACGGATATTTGCCAAGGGATGGCGGTTGTAAGGGAAGGTTTTGTCTTCATTTAGTTCAAACTGAATGGGAACATGTTGACAGAAGCTCAATCATATCGGTTCAACTCGGTTACAAGTACTAGTAGCGCGGTTCAGGTACGCGACATTTGACAGCTCTGTGGTTTGTCCACAGGCACGATCTCTCAATCCATCGCACGTTTGCCCAGCGCTGGCGGCTTGTCAGTTTAACATTTGGAATGCGCGCTGCGGCGTCCGTTGCTTCATCGGACGTGTCGCTCGATCGAAGGTGGGCGCGCGGCGGGGCTGGTTTTGTCAGCCGAACCGCATGGTTTCCTAACAATCAGGCCAGCCGCAATGTGCGGGACTTTTCAAGGGTGCTGTTGCTGCTTGCGCAGCATTTCCACGCAGCTTGGTTTGGTCAAACCACAAGAAACACGAGTAACTCATTAGGAGCACACGCGTTTTCAGATTAGAACGGTCCGTTTTGCGGCAACATGCACAAGATAAGCGAGATGCTATACAGTAGGTAATGCCAATGGAGATGCTACATCATGTTACACCACATTCTGAAAGCCAAGGATCATCAAAGTTGACGTACTTAGTCCAGAGGCTACGATAGTTTGGCAGGGCAATCTTCAGCCATGGCTTCTGGTTACCGTTCCAATGTATAACCGCTGCTTTTGAAATGGCTGCCATGTCCAAATGGGGATTGTAACCAAGCCCGAGGACATGCCATGATGGATCAATGGCATGTGTGAGCCCATTGAAGGCCAGCAAGCCAGGTGGTAGCGTTCCCAGCTTCCATAATGAATGGTCAACGTTCTGCAAGCAAATGCCAAATGACAAAACACAACAAAACAAACAAGCAAAAGCATGCGCGAGTAAGAGGCAGACTAAAGCACAAGTTTATGCCATGCAGGTATGTGCCATGTACCTTTGAAGCTACCACAGAACAGAGCTCTATGTGTCTTTTCTCTCTCTTCCCCCCTCACCTGCTCCTGCCAGTAGTAGCACGTGGCAATCACATTGGCCTGCCGCCACCCATCCAGGTCAAAGAGGTTCATCCCATACGCCTCTGAAGCTACCCACAGCACAACCCCACCACCTCCCCCACCACAAATGCCTTCCTCCTCCCCCACTCCCCCACTCCCCCCCACCCCTCTCCCCTCCCCCCTCTTCCCCATCCCTTCCCCCCTCACCTGGTCCTGCCAGTAGTGGTACGTGGCAGTCACATTGGCCTGCCGCCACCCATCCAGGTCAAACACGTTCATGCCATACGTCCACGCACACCCCTCGGGGTCAAAGCGCCCTCTCAGTCATGCCTATGATTGCACCCCCCTCACCTGCTCCTGCCAGTAGTGGTACGTGGCAGTCACATTGGCCCGCCGCCACCCATCCAGGTCAAACACGTTCATGCCATACGCCCATGCACACCCCTCGGGGTCAAAGCGGCCTCTCAGCCGCGTGTCGGAGAAGTTGAGGTAGCGGTGGAAGCGGTGGAACGACCCCTTGCACGTCTCCACTGCACCGTTGACAGCTCTATGGGGGGGAGGCAGTCAACAGAGGGGAGGGGTTTAATGGTTGAGAACACTGCTAGGGTCATTCACTTGGGCCGCGTGTCGGAGAAGTTGAGGTAGCGGTGGAAGCGGTGGAACGACCCCTTGCATGTTTCCACTGCACCGTTCACAGCGCTGATTGGTGGGGGAAAGAGGCAATTCAGGGGGGAGGGGGCAACGTTGAGGTAGCGGTGGAAGCGGTGGAAGGACCCCTTGCACGTCTCCACTGCCCCGTTGACAGCGCTGATAGGAAGGGGAGGACAGGAGTTAGAAGGAGTCAAGAGTGGTGGTAAGGTCCGAATCTTGAGATGAGTGGCATTGAAGTTGAGGTAGTGGTGGAAGCGGTGGAACGACCCCTTGCACGTCTCCACTGCTCCGTTCACAGCGCTGATGGGGGAGGGGAGCATAAGCCAAGGGGAGTGGTATGGTCAGGCACTTGGGCGGAGTGGTTGTGAAGTTGAGGTAGCGGTGGAAGCGGTGGAAGGAACCCTTGCACGTCTCCACTGCTCCGTTGACAGCTCTATTGGGGGGGAGGGAGTCACCAGAGTGGACGGGCCCAATGGAAGAGAACGCTGCTAGGGTCGAAGGGGAATAGAGGCAGGCAACAGCATTGTTAGGGGCAGACACTTGGGTCGAGTTCTTGTGAAGGAGAAGTTGAGGTAGCAGTGGATACGGTGGAATGACCCCTTGCACGTCTCCACTGCTCCGTTCACCACGCTGATGAGGAGAACAAGGGGGGCAGGGGGGGGAGAACGCAAAAGCCAAGAGCAGTGTAAGGATCAGACACTGGAGCTTAGTGTTGAGGCAGAGAGAAGTCGAGGTAGCGGTGGACACGGTGTAAGAATCCCTTGCATGTCAACATTGACACCACTACCCACTGCATTGTTGACAACACTGGCAGCGCTGAACAATGCATGGTTGCACGAAGAGCATTGTTGACTTGACAGCACTGAGAGGAGAGAGAGGCGTCGGGGGAGTAGGCCGGATTCAGACCAGACATCCATGACTGGCAATAAGGCGGATAGTGTTGAATACTTTGTGCAACAAAAGAGCAGAACACACCCGTTAACGCCCAGACAGAAGATGCACCCACCCGTTCATATTGAGGGAAAAGAGAGCAGAGAGGTCTCGTTGTACGATGACGTCATCATCGAGGAAGAGGATGCGGTGCAGCGCGGGGAAGAGAAGAGAGAAGGAGGGCAGAAACAGTGCAGTGCACGCAAGGGCGGAACGCACCCGTTCATGTCAAGGGAATAAAGGGCAGAGAGGTCCCGCTGCACAATGACGTCGTCGTCGAGGAAGAGGATGCGGTGCAGCGCGGGGAAGAGGAGTGGCAGGTAGAAGCGCAGGTGGTTGAGCAGTGACATGTACTTGGGGTTGCGGAACTTTATGGGGTCGCTGCTGCCCTCGCCCTGTTGGAGTTGGAGGGTGTGTGTGGGAAAGACGGGCTTTGTTTAAGTGGGTGGGTGTGTATGGGTGGTTAGGGTGCGCAGGTGGTTGAGCAGCGCCATGTACTTGGGGTTGCGAAACTTGATGGGGTCGCTGCTGCCCTCGCCCTGTGGGGATGTGTCCGGAGGGCGTGTATGTGCATTGGGAGGGGGAGGGAGTGTGTGTGGGTTGGGTGTGGACCGTGTGGGGGATGGGTTCAGCAGTGACATGTACTTGGGGTTGCGGAACTTGATGGGGTCGCTGCTGCTCTCGCCCTGTGGGGATGTGTCCGGGGGAGCGGTGGTTGTGTGTGTATGGGAAGAGAGGGAGTGGAGAGTAAAGGAGAGGTGGGCTTTGTGTGTGTGGGTTGCGGGAAGGAGGGTTTAGCAGCGACATGTACTTGGGATTGCGAAACTTGATGGGGTCGCTGCTGCCCTCGCCCTGTGTGGATGCGGGGTTGCATGAGAAAGGAGGTTGGGTCGCGCGTGTTGTGTGCATATCCGCGCAAATGTGCAAGGGGGAGATTGAATAAGTGCAAAATGGGTGATCGAACCTGTTTCATCATGGGACGTTGATAGGCCATGGTGGTGTGGTGACGGTTTCCATCTCAAAACCCCATCACCGCCCATCACCACTCAGCATCTCCCCCTTATACATGACACACGGCAGCAGCAGCAGCAGCAGCAGCAGCAGCAGCAGCAGCAGCAGCAGAGAAGCAAGAGCTCATCTCCACTCTCCACCATCACAGCCCCCTCCCATGCCCCCCCTTCCCACTCCCCCCCTACCTCCCCTCTTATCCGCGTGCACTCACAGCAGCAGCAGCTGAGAAGTAGAAACTCTTGGCATGGGCGTCCTGCATCTGCCGCAGCACGGGCGCAAAGGACGCGTTCAGCCACCCGCTCTCGCCCTCCACCCGCCGCACCTCCAGCGACGCCGAGCCAGGTGGGTGGCGGGAGAACCACACCTGATCGGCGGAAGGGGAAAGGGAAAGAAACGGTGTATTCTTGTATGTATTTCCAAAAGCACCCTGCTAGACCTCCTGCTCTCGCCCTCCACCTGCCGCACCTCCAGCGATGCCGAGCCAGGTGGGTGGCGGGAGAACCACACCTGGAGGGGGAAAGGGGAAGGAACGGGTGCTTTTCCTGTTTCTAATATACTTTTCAGGAACACTCTGCAACGCCACCCACTCTCGCCCTCCACCCGCCGCACCTCCAGCGACGCGGAACCCGGCGGGTGGCGGGAACCACACCTGGAGGGCGGGGGAAGGGGGTCGCATCAGTGACGACGTGGAAGACCAGGCGCAAAGGGTGGCATGTCAGAGCAAGTCACTCTGGAACTAACGACCACTCATGAGAGAGCACACATGCCAACGGTCTTCTCCTCTCACCACCAGGGCAGGGAAGGACGTGGCATGAGTGACGACGTGGAAGACCAGGCGCGAAGGGTGGCATGTCAGAGCAAGTCACTATAGAACTCACGATCACCCATGAAAGAGCGCACATGCCAGCAGTCTCCTCCTCTCACCACGAAGGCAGGGAAGGACGTGGAGTCGGTGACGACATGGAAGACCAGGCGGGATGGGTCGTGAGAGGAGTTGAGGGACCAGGCATGTGGAGTTGAGGGCGGCAGACACGGCCAGCACGACGAGATTGAACCAACACCAGAGTACGTCACTCGCACTGACAAACAGCACCGTCCACA